TGTTTTCTTTAGTAATGGAACAGAATTTTTTTTTTTTAATTTTTTTTTTGTCTTTTTCTTTTTTATTGGTACCAGGGATCGAACTCACGACTGCCTGCTTACAAGGCAGGCCCTTATGCCGCTGAGCTAAATCCCCAGCTGGTTTTGTTTTTTGATACAAGGTCTTACTATGTGGTTCAGGCTGGCCTTGAACTTGTGGCAATCCTCCTGCCTCAGCCTCTCAAGTACTAGATTTATAGGTGTTCACTGCTTTACCTGGCTAGGAGCAGAATTTTTCATAAAATTCCTATTTCTATAATTCCCATAAATGGAACAGGCACCTTCTAATGGTTTATGGTTGTGTTTTACTGAATGGGCTGAAAGGTTGCAGTCATTTTCTTATCCAAAGGAACCAAATGGAGTGAGACGAAACAGGAATTTTAAGGGAGGAGGGTCGCTAGCCTCATGAAGGATTCGATTCAGGAGATGGTTTAATTGTGCCCAATAGGATCACCTGCCTTTCGTTTTCTGATCTCATAAGGCTACCACTGAGGTGGCTACGAGCCTTTTACAGCTAAGAACTTGGCCCTTCACATTCAGGGAAGGAAGAGCCCTAATAAGAACCAGGACCAGAGTGCTTTCCACTGTGTTCCCTAAAGACGGGGAGTTTCCAGCCAAACGCGCCTCCCATGTCGGGCCTCCAGGGTGCTGAGAGCCGGTGAGGTTAAGCAGGGCCCCCGAGTCAGACAGCCACAGTGCACTCCAGTCTACCACATACCAGTGGGGCTCTGGGCTTCTGCTCCTTCATCTGCAAAAGGGGAGAGTGAAGATTGCTCTGGAATTAATATTGTAAGCATCCAAGGAAAACCAATTTTATCAGACTCCCATACCCAGTACTTAGAGCAGGTACTATTTTGGGGCCTTGCCAAAGAGATCATGTAGATTAAAGTAGAGCTCTATCAGGAAATAGAGACAAGGGCAGCGGTGTTTTCCTCTGTAACAGAAGATTTGAACCAGATGGATAACACACTTTAACTCAGTGACCCTTACTGTGTGTGCTTGAATGAAAATTAAAGTGTTCATAAGATGCCTGCACCTCTTTGCACAGCTACGTAGAGCTTTAATTTTTCACATTCAGGATGTTTATTTTACTTTCTGGCTGAAAGTTTGCATTAGTTCCTTCATCTTTCCCTTTAAAAGGTTAGTGTGACAATCTTCCATAATAAACTCCTGAAAGAGAAGGTTTGATCAAGATTGGGATGAAATACACCAAAATCAAAGAAAACACAGCAGCAGCAGCAGCAACGACAACCACCACAACCGCCACAAAACACTGCTGCCTTTAAAAAAACCAACGCTTTCACCAATGACGTTCAGACAGAAATACATGCTGTTAGCGTGTTACGTGTATGCAGTGCTCCCTTGGGACTGGCCTTCCTCCCTCTCCTGCAGGTGGCACAGCTGCATATCACCTCCCTCTGCTGCACAATGCACTGAGGCCTTGGATCAAAGGCACTAAGGTTTTGGCCTCATGACAATTTGCTCACCCACCCTGCAAGCAGACACCTGAGTGGGGCTCTCCTGGTGCAGTGTGCAAGGCTGCATTGTGGCCACTGCCCTCTTGTCGTGTGGGGATGCCTCCCTGGACAGATGCTGCACTGGATGCTCTGCTTTGGAAAGTGTAGCTTGCGGAAAAGATCAGAGAAACGCGGTCATCTTAGTTAATCCATTTCCCATTTGCCCTGAGAATATTTGCTGGCAGTGATCAAAGCTGTGGCATTTACCTAGAGAAAATGCTGGAATTACAGTCTTAAACTTACTCCCAAATTTGCCACAAAACATCTCACTTTCATTATTATTTTTGAAGTGGGAACAAAAGACATTTTATTAATAGCATTCTGTTGTGAGAAGGGGTATTTCTACTTGCATAATACACTAATTCTCCATCACTGGAAATTACATGAGTGTCAGCAGCATGCTGCACTGTTGTTCTAAACAGAGTTAAAGAGCACTGGGCAGCAGGGCCAGCAGCTCTGACTCTCTTCTTAGATCAAATGATGTATGCAGGAGTGGCAGGAACTCGATTTTCTGAGTTGAGTCCTGCGTGCTTTTTGATGCATCAGCAGGAGACACAGCACTGTCTTGGCTGAGCCAGGCTGGCATCTCCCACTGGCGGCAGAGGCTGACTGCAGTTACAGCCAGCAGTGACAATGCCACCAAATTCTGCCATCAGCTGCCTAAAAGGCATCTTGCTGCCACGGAGCACCCTGGCTGGCTTTTCATCCACATCTTTAATATAGGCAGAAAATAATCAGCATCTGAAGTCTCATGATCTTGCTCTTGGCAAAACGTGGCTGGGTTGCCAACCCAAGCTGAGGACCATGAGCGAACCGGCTTGTTAATATGCTGGCATAACCAGCAGTCTCCAAGTGACAAACAGAATTAAGTCATGCTCCACTTCCCACAGCACATTTGTTCTCTAGAGGGCACCACTTGGCAAAAGCGCCTGCGCAGTTAGTCCTCAGGCGCACCAGGCGGCAGCTTTTGGACTTCAGACATGCGCACTGTGGTCTGCCCCCACCAGTGACGATGCAGGAGCCCGGGGGAGCCAGTGGCTGGGATGTTCCACTCTACGCCCCGAGTTCCTGAGACCCTCTCTCCCCCAGGCTCCCATCTGTGCATAGGTGCACTTCTTATTGAGACTAAGGGCAGTCTGGGCATGAGCCCTGCTCCAGATGTGACAGGTGATTGGCTCTGGTAAAAACAGATGAAGCACATTATTCTTAGTGTTTTTGTGGACAAAAAGTTGAGAAAGCTAGAGAGGCACCATTCTCGGACTCTGGTCTCTTCCTGTGGTCAGGCTCTGGTGGGTGTGGGTGGAGTCTACACAAAGCCTTATAAAGCTGAAACATTCCAAGGGTTGGATTAGAAAAATCAGAAGACAAAAAAATGGTAAAATAACGTAGCTATTTTGTCTTGATTCTATAAAATGAAGAGGGCCAGGCTAGATGACTCCAGATACACACGATCTTTAATAATCATTAAGCTTCCTGGTTCAGTCAGCTGACTCAGACCCGGACTGTGGATGCTAATGTGCTTAAACTAAAACATGATGCAACACACGAAAATCCTCTGGGCTCATTCACCTGATTAAAATTCCGAAGTCTGCCTGTCTGACTCATACAAGCATCCAGGAGATTACAGAGACCTTTTTTTATTTCCTTTTGCCCACTGACCACTGTTACTTTTTTTTTTGTACCAGGAATTGAGCTCACAATCTCACACTTCCCAGGCAGGCGCTGTGCGCCTGAGCTATATCCTGTTATTATTTCTTATGCCTGTGTTGTACACACCAGTGTCAGCTGTTACTATATGCACTGCAGTCAGTTTTTCACTGGGATAATTAAAACAAGTACCGTTACCATTCGTGAGCAGGTAACCTCCCCCAGAATGTTATCCTTGGCCAGTGTAGGTGATGGTATACAGATCTGTTCTGAACACCAACAATGCTACCAGGATTGAGGAACTGAAGGAGTTTTTGAACTGAAGATTAACCTTTGCTTGTAGGTTAAGTGAAGAAGTTAAAACTCACAGTTTGAAGGGTAACAGACGGAAAGGATAGGGGTTCCCAATCTGGGAGTCTGTTACATCACTCTGAGAAGTGTCCAGAGTGATTTTGAATGAACACCGACCACCCGCTGTGTTGTGAGCCAAGGCCAGATGCCCAGCGGCTCATCTACACCACGGATTGGTAGAGAACTGGTTGGAAAATTGCTGGCTTCTGCACAGGCAGCTGTTGAAGGTCCCCTGCCCAGGCAATGGTTCAGTTATTGTTTTGACTAATGAGATTTTGCAGTAGAAAAAAAGACAAAGATGTGACTGTCAACAGAGCCGAACAACGTGTTTCTCCCAGAGGCCCCATGTAGTGAGCAGCAGGTGCCACATGACAGCAAGACACGCTGGGGTTCCCGGCACGTCTTCTTTATCACATCTGGTCAGTTGCTGATTTTACAAGACATTTGATTTGTATGTATTTGGGGCATGAGAATTAAGCATTTTTTATTTGCCTTTTTCCTCCGCTTGGGAAGGAAATTCCCAAGTGTTGTATTGAATTCCCAAGTATTGAAGTGTTATCTCTGTTTAGTTTTTCAAGTAGTTGAAATTCTTACTGATGACCCAACAGAGTGTTGCTAATGGTTATCAACTGAGTATCTGCATGGAGAAGGAGAAGCTTGAGAATCTGGGTTCTCAAATCAAACTCCTGGGATTAATTCCTGGCTGAGCAATTAGTCAGCTTTGTGATTTTAAATAAGTCCCTTAACCTTTCTGGTCCTCAGCTGTCTCATCTATGAAATGGGACTCCCTCTCTGCCTGCCCCTACTAACACTTGTCACTGATTTCACTGGCCAGCCAATGGCCTTGGGTGTTATTGCTCCTGTGCACTGGTCCCTTTTTTATGATGAGTGAGATAAGCGAGTGAACCAAATCTCAGTGGCATAAAATCTTTTCCATCTGTAACTTTAGTTTTTCTCTCCATCGCCAGTTTTTCAGTGAGTCTTAAGAAAGTCAGTTCATTCTTTCTTTCGTGTAATTTTTTTTCTGAGTCACTACCTGTGAACTAGTTGTCTAGCTGAACATCGTGAGTAGATAAACCCATATTGATTGTTTTCCATTAACCATGGGCTGTTATCTAAGAGATCTGGTCTGTCACAGACGGGGGAATTTGCCCCAACGTTATTGGAATCTCTCCTGAGCTGGACACTAGTTAGTCTTTAGTAAGACAGTGCTTCAGAGGGTCAGGAATTCACGGGAACTCTGTCACTGGGTAGAGGAGAAAGGAACCAAAGAGGAAACCTAAGGACTGGAAATTTGCAGTCCAGCTCTACTGGATGAAAATTTGCTTTGTTTAGTGCCTAACTTCTCAGAAGATTTTCCTCGGCTGAGTGGACTTGGTGGAGCACTGGCCCGAGAGCATTGCTTAGCAACAAGATTTGGGGCCACCTGATTCTCTAATTGTCATACAACTCATCAGTTCTGGCCTTCCCTCCACTGGCCTTGAGCTACCACCAGGGCCTCCTATTAGACAATTAAGTGTGTGGTGAGGGAGGGACCAGAGACCGGGCAAAGTTTAATCATTGAACGAGGCAGGCTGGAGGTATTTAGTTGGAAGCACCCAGCTCCCAGCCTGAACTGGAAGTGTCAGGGGTGCCAGAGACACAGGGAAGTAAACGGTGCACAGAAATCTCCGGCTGTCTCAGGAGAAACCCAACTTCACGATCATGTTTGCGGTACATTTGATGGCATTTTACTTCACCAAACTGAAGGAGGATCAGATCAAGAAGGTAAGGACTCCCAAAGCTCATTCCTCACTGACGGAACCAATTCTGTGCTTACCTCAAATGGATTTAAGAGCGGGGTGTGGCTCAGTGGTACAGCACTTCCCTGGCACACGCTAGGCCCTGAGTTTGATTATTAAAATAAAAAAAAAGAGGAAAAAGAAAAAGGATTTAAGGGGACTTATTAGAAAACAGGGGTTTAGAGGGGAATGGATGTGGATATACATGCATGCAATTCCCACTACTCACCACACAGAAGGCTGAACTAGTGTGATCACAAGAGTGAGCCCAGCCTGGGGAACATAGCAAGCTCCTACCTAAAATCTCAGAACCTTGAGCAGGGAGGGGAAGTCAGTCTGCTACACTCCTTGGTATTGCACTGTGTCCTGAACCCTGAATTCTGCTCAGAACTTCCTGGCCGATATCTGTGGGTAGAGCTGAGGAGAGTCTTTAGAAAACCTGAGGAGGTTAATCCTCTATTCAGGGGATGTAGGAGCATGACAGTCACTTGTAAAGAACTTTTAAAAACTTCTGAAGTAGGCAGCTATGGTGGCACACTCCTGTAATCCTAGTACTCGGGAAGCTGAGGCAGGAGGATTGTTGTGAGTTTGAGACCAGCCTGGGCTACAAAGTGAGCTCAAGGCCAGCCTGAACTGCATAGAGAGACCCTGCCTCAAAAAGACAAAATAAATAAATAAAAGAACTTCTGAAGTAGATCTGATTATTCATGTATTTGAAAACATAAAATATGTGCACCCAAAGGGAAACAAGGTTTAATCTTTTTTCAGATGGGATCTCACTAAATTGTTCAGGCTGGTTTTAAACTCCATCTTCCTGCCTCAGTCTCCTGCCTAGCTGGGACTATAGCTATGAGCCCCTGTGTATGGCTGAGATGTCATTATGATACTTGGAATATTTATTATTGATTGGCGCAGGGTATTTGCCAATGATGTGCTATTAATGATGTGCATCATTTTGTCCCTTTGCCCCAGGAATTAGTCTACAAAATCCACTCCAAGGTGAGGTAAGCAGGATTCTCGCCAGGGAGCTGCAGGGAGCCCAGCCTGGCTGCCTGCCTTGCTGTGGGCAGAAAGGCCCCGGGCCCTGGTGTCTCTGGGTTTATAGATAACAGAAGTCTTCTTGGTGGGCAGACTCAGCCAAGGTCACTCAGGTTTTTCAGGTGAAATGAGGATGACATCTACACCAGCAGACGCCTCTCCAAACTTTCCATTTGCCACAATGCCTTCCCGCCTTTCACAGTGAGAGGAGGCGCAGCCTGGAAGCCCTCGTGTGCTAAGTGGGACAAATTCCCACTAATTCGCTTTGTTAAAGTGTTAGGTTAGAGGTTGCAGCAAATTTAACAATATGAATTAGTCCTGATTTAACCCGGTGTAACCTTCCCCTGTTGATGAGATTCACAGAGCCCTCTACTGGCTGTTTAACGAGGTAGAGCGCTCTCTGTAGCCCTGCTTCCCGAGTTCACTGTGTTGCTAGCGCTTAGCAAAGACGTAAACTGCACAGCACAGTGTCTCTCCTACCCACACGAGGAGCCTTTGGGACCTTGAAACCTCTGGCCCTGCAAAGTCATCTCATTTCCTTGGCCCTATGGGGAGGTTGGCCTTTTGTTCTACCTCCCAGGAAGGCGGATTATGTTTGTCCACCAGCACAGGCACAGGCTCAGTCCCTTGGAAGCTCAGGCTCCCCTGATGTGTTTGCTGCCGGTCCTTCTGGAAGAAGGGTCAGCCTTTGTCAATACCTGGAGTGGACCTTCCCCCTGCCTGTGGGGGCTGGAGAGTCAGGGGCACCTCGTAGTTGCTCTAAGCAAGGTCATGTGAGAAACTGGCTTATGATTGTTGGATGGAGTCACAGGATCTGAGAACTTTTTTTCCGTATAATAAAGACTTGCCTGGGCAAAAGGCACATTGTGTTCCCGCCTGGTCGCCAGGCAGCCTGATTTAATTTGTGTGCTTCATGCCCCTAGACTGGGCAAGGCCCTGGGCCATCCTTATCTGTGAGGGTTACTGCTCCTGTTCTGAGACAGGTTTTACAATCTCCTGTTGTAAGAGAAAAATAAAACAAAAAGGAAAGAGGAAAAGAGAAAGCACACTGATAGCTTCTTTTCCAGAGCAATACATTGACATTATTTGACCTATTGATAACACTGGCCAGCCTGGTCACTGACCTGCTCATTGCTTGTCCATAAGAACAGGACTGGTTAAGTTGTCAATGTGTATTTTTTACAGTTCAGTAAGTCAATAAGTCAACCTTATGAAAAGGTGGAAATGCTACCTTTGATCTCATCTTTAATTAATTTGTAATAGTGAACACCATCCTGCCTGCCGGATGGATGCCCACGTCTCCTTCCCTTACTACTGTTAATGTAACCACTTGTGTCTGTCTCTCTGTTATTGTCATGATTCTTTTCTAATATCTTCTGAATATTCAGTTAAGTAGATGTGTCAGTTGATTAGCTGTACCCTGTAGGCATTAAGATACCTTACAAAACACTTACTTTGACAATTAAAATATTGCCATATATAAGTCAGAGCCTTTAGGTTCTGTGCTCAAAATTTTATTTATTTGACTTGCAATAAAAGCCAAGTTTCTTACAATGAAAATCCATACCACTGTGATAATCAGTGTTACACATTTATTGTTCTCCATAATTAGGGTTATTTCTTGAGGACAAAGATGCCGAACGGAAATAAGTAGGCCAAAGAGTGGAACTTCTTTATGACTCTTGATTCATAGTATTAGACCTTTGGACTGAGTGATCTCGAAGGCACCTTCCCTCTCCTATGTTCTGTAATTTAGCAGGTCTGAGCATCAAGATTTGGAGTTTGCTTTTTCTAAGGTAACTGCGATGCTTGTCAGCTCTCCTGTTTAGATGACATCCCTGGCATGGTTTGTCCCACTCTTCAGGAGTGGGGCTGGTTTTCTGCAATATAAGCTCTCTCCTTTAGTGCCTGAGACAATGTCCCTGTTTACACACACCCAGGTCACCTATTTGGATTAAAAAATAGTTTTCTTGCTGGGTATAGTGGTGAACACCTGTAATCCCAGCACTTGGGAGGCTGAGGCAGGAGGATTATTGTGAGATTGAGGCAGCCTGGGCTACAAAGCAAGTTCAAAAGCAGCCTGAACTGCATAATGAGACCCTGTCTTAGAAAAAAAAAAAGCTTTCATTTGGTCCCAACAAATATTCATTATTTGAGAGAGGGTACAACAAACTGCAAAGTTGATGTTCTTTCTGCCGTAATTTTAATTTATTGAAAGAGCACCCCTAACCAAATGGCTACAAGACCGTGTTAGACTGTAGCTTACAAACAATCCCAAAAGGGCCTCAAGGACCATGCCTTTGTAGGAAGATGGCATTCTGGAGATGCCTCAGGAATCCCTTTGTTGTCTCAGGCTGAGCAATAAGATCACGGGATCCAGGCACTGTCTGAGGGGCTTTATTGTGCTACTAAAAGATCATGGGCAGTTCCCATGCAAGCTTCCTACTCTTCCCCAACCCCAATTACTTGGGTCACACCCCTTCTGTCCAGTTTTCTCTATTTGTGTGTGGCTGTACCAACCAATTAGTCATCAACAGACTCAGAGTTGGTAGGAAGCTCTTAATGAAGCCTGACCTGATTACATGGCATCTTCTCCAATACACTGAAAGCTCAATTGTCCTTTTTGTTAATGATTCTCTAATGGGTTTTTGGCCTTTCTCTGGTCACCAAGTTCCCAGAGCCACTGGACCATTTCATTGGATTAGATTTCTTGTCCCAAGACCTAGATAATAGCTGCTTCCTGTGCTAGGATAAAGGTTATGTGAACCTTGGGCTTTTGGTATGATTAGTCTGTGGTTCACACATGGAGCCGTGAGCCAAAACCAGCTGTGAGAGCAAGGGATCTGGAGACTGCAGCACAGGACCAATTCTGCCATTTAACTATGACTCCACTAATACTACTCTATAGCTCAGAGACTGGTTTCTCTCATCTGTAAATGAAGCAAAATAACTTGGGCCTTGTCTGGCTGCTTCACAGGGATGCCAGCAATTTGATGAGTGACATACATGAAAGCTCACTTATATAACAGTGTACTCCCTGCAGGAACGTGCCTGGGACCAAGGCTTCTTATGACTTGGTTGAGTGGCTCAGAGAACATCATAGGGTTGATGAATATGCCAGTGTCTCCTCTCCTGCCCCATCAAGAGCCCATCCCAATAAGCCTCTGGATTCTGGATGGTCACCAGCAATTGAAGAGCATTAGCATAGGAGAGGAATTTGTCAGCCACTCTCGATCTGACCAATAGAGTGGACTGAGTACACAACAGTGTTTTTTCTAATTTCCTTCCCTTGGGGAAGCGGTCCTTTGCCTCAATTGCTTGATTACTGGATGTCTTAGTTACTTTTTTGTTGCTGGGACAAAACGCCTGACACCCCAAATAAAGGAGGAGAGGTTTATTTTGGCTCACAATTTGTAGAGGTTTCAGTCCATGGTTGGCTTCTTTCAATACGGGGAGGCACAGCAGAGGGCGCTGTGGAGGAGAAACAGCCCATGGCAGGGAAAGCAGGAGAGGTTCTTTCTCTTTTTATTCCATCTAGGTTGCAAGTCTACTAGTTGGTGCTACCCATACCCAGAACTTTGGGAGGGTCTTCCTACTTCAGTAAATCCATCACCCACACCCAGAACTATGCTAAAACCCATCAGTAACCTAGTCTAGTATCACACACCCTAGAGTGCCACCTATGAGTGCATGAAGCTTTGGGGGGACATCCAGAAACAGGCTCTAACATTGGGATGGCATCTTCTTGTTTCCAAAGATACTGTGAGATGACCTTAAAGCTTCAACTTCATCTTAATTAAAATAAACTCAATTAAAGCAAAATGGAAATTGAAAGAACTAGAGTTTAAAGCTCTCAGTTGGAAACTGAATTTAATTCAGAGCTTCCTAGCAGCCAATAACAAAGGGAAATGGTTTCGGATGTATCTATTGCCATCACTGGACCAGAGAAACTTCTACGTACAGGAAATGAAAATTCAGGTGATAGTTTGTGTTTTCCACTGGTGAGGGCCCTGCGCTGGCAATTAGAAACCTTGAATTCTTCTCTATAAATCCTGCACCCACCCTGTGTTGTCCCAACAAAATAACAGGGAATCACTTCTTGCTAAGAGATTGTCTTTTAGAAGAATTCATCTGCCCCTCCTCAGCCTTTTTCTGTGCCGTGGTCTGCCAAATCCCTCCTTTGTCTTTCTTGTTGAGGAGTCAGGTAAGGAACCATTCGGAAGCCATGACATGAACCTGTCCCCAAACACCCCCAGATGCTACCTCTGACACCCAGGCATCCTTCCAGGTGGACAGGTTCCTGTACCACATGCGGCTTTCAGATGAGACCCTTTTGGATATCATGGCACGGTTCCAGGCCGAGATGGAGAAGGGGCTGGGGAAGGACACCAACCCCACGGCCTCCGTAAAGATGCTGCCCACCTTCGTCAGGGCCATTCCGGATGGCTCAGGTGAGTGGGGCTGAGGATGCTGGGACTCGCCCTCTGGCTTCCTGAGGTCGGCCCCTCCACCCCAGGTTCTGTCTGCACCCTCTCTCCTGCACCCTCTCTCCACTTCCACTTCAGCCCTGCCACACAACTTTGGGTTCCACAGGCCGAGGCATCTCGCTTCCTTGCTGTCCATCTTGGCCTGTTTATTCTGTCCGCTCCCTGACTGTGGCCTCTCATCCCTTGGCCCATCGAGTACACCCTTAGCTTTCTGAGCTCAGCAGGTCACTGACTGCCTCTCTCTGGGAAGCGGCCCAGGGCGGGATAGGTGCTTTTCAGAGACCTTGCCATCTCGGGGAGGAGGGTCTCCTCCGGGTCAGCAGCTGCTGGAGGCCAGGTCCTTACTCACCATGACATTTGGAAAGCTCATTACATATCAGACCCTGGAGCCCGTGTCAAACGGACAGCAAGTGGCCTCCACCTAGGTGTCCGGAAAGGAAGCAGGATGCCATGAAAAATACTAAATGAAAATTCAACCCTGATTCTAGACCCAGTTCTGTCCCTCCTTAGTGACCTCAAGCAAGTGCTTAGACTTGGTTTTTCCATCTGCAAAATGAAAGAGCTGGTCTAGGTATTGGGTTTCTATTGCTGCTTTTATTCTTAAGGATGAGGCTGGGAGCCCCGGGTTATCGGCTGGAGTTGACTGATGGGCCTGTTATCAGGTAGCTTGTTTCTAAAAAGTGGCTTCTCATAGGAAGTACGTGTGCAGGGCCATGGGAACCGTTCTGCGCAGGCGTCTGGGATCTTGTAATTATCAGTTGAGACTATTTCTCCAGCCAGCTTTTGCTATGCGCTAATCTCCTGTCTCAGGTTAAGGTCTGCACTGGGACCAAGTTCCATATTTGCCCGAGCCTAAGATCCCAATTCACTTCAGGTGATTCCTGAACACACAACTTCCCAGGTCTCGCCTGGAGGCTGCTAACACCTTACCACAGGTGTAGAGGACCAACACACACGGTGTATTCTTACGGTGGTCAGAAGTTTGAAACAGGTCTGGCTGGGCTAAAGCCAAGGTGTCCGCAGGGCTGTGTTCCTTCTGAAGCTCCAGGGAAGGGTCTTGGCTTTTTCCAGCTTCTCAGGGCAACCTACACACTTCGACCCTCTCCTCTTCCTGACTCCGTGATCGACAGTGTGGCATAGTCTGCCTCTGCCTCCCTCTTGCTCAGATAAGCCCAGATAACCTCCACCTCAGGGTCAGCTGATAAGAAATTTTGATTTTATTTAAAAACTGCAACCTAAATATCTTTGTCATGTGACCTAACACACTTCCAGGATCCAGGGATTAGGATGTGGACTCTTTAGTGATTGGAAACATTATTTGCATTAGAACCCACAGTGCTCTAGAAGAAATCTGAGTTTCCACCTAAACTCCATTCCCAGCTTCAGGAAAAAGCCACAAGAGGGAAAGAACTGATAGGATGCTTCGACCTTGTGTCCTGTACTCCTGGGAGGACACTGTGGGGTGGCTGCTACTGCCAGGTCAGATGGGAGCACCCAGGTGCAAAGGACTCGCCCAGTTTCAGGGTCCCAGTGCTGAGGGACTTGGAGGCCATGAAGGACAAAGACAGAACCTACTGTCTGGGGAGCTGCTGGGGACCTGTGAATGGATTAGCCAGTTCTAGGCAGCCCATGGGGCAATGCTGGGGTCAAAGTGGCCTGACTCTGCTGGTTGCCAGGTCTTGGGGCATGGTGAGGGGAGAGGTCTCCCTCCTGGCTGGCGGGAGGGTGCTTAGGTTTGGGCAGCGCTCCACCTGGAGGAGCATAAGGGTTGGAGAAAGACAGCCCTCCTGCCTCTGACAGTGTGGACGGAGTGCCAAGGAGACTGCAGTCCTTGATAGGTGACACAGGGACATTTGGCCTGAGTCATAGGGTGTGTAGCAGGGGTGAGGAGTGCCGGGGCTAAGTCCTGATGGCTTCCTCCACATGCCGACAAGGTGTGGCCACAGCAACCTGGTGGTGACCTTGCCTGGTTCTGAGGCCCAGGGCTGCTTCAGAAGGAAGCAGGAGAGGAAATGAGACGGACTGAGTTCTAGAAACTCCTCCCCCTCTGGCTCAGAGGCACATACCTCTCTTCACAGACCCTCTCGTCACAGTCACACTGCAGCACCCAGAAAGTCAGTGGCAGTGAAGTCCCTGAAGAGCAGGTTCCCTTGGGAGGTCCCAGGACTACTGTGCTCCTGTCCTCATCAGCAAATGAGTGTGACCAGTGTATCCCCCTAACTTGTGAAGCTGTTGGTGGAGGGACCAGGGGAGCTTCTCCCTCTCTGTCTCTCAGACTCCAGTCTTTAAATCTGTTGACGTAACTGTCAATAGACAGAGCAACAGGGGAAAAGCACACAAATACATTAACACATACATGTGCACAGGAACCACACCCAATATGAAACTCAAAGAGGGGCCAAGTGAGTGTGACCTAAATATCCTCCTCAGAGAGGACAGAAAGGCACAGGAAATTCCAGAGCTGTTGTAAATGATTGTTTAGGGTAGACAGTGGCCCGGGGACAAAGTCCCTCTGGGTTCTGGGTGTAGTATTTGATTTTCAGTCTCTTCTGTGATATGAGTTTTATTTTCCTTAGATAGTGACATTTCAGGAAGAGGATGAAGGTATGCATGCTTGCATGGCAGGGCTGGCCTAGGGTAGAATGGGTACTTCAGGGAAGGCCAGGGAAAGCCCTTCCTGGGTTTGTGCCTCCCATGGGCACTCAGTTTCAGGTCCAAAGTGGCATATTTTGAAGTGAGACTTTTTTTTTTTTTTTTTGTCTTTTAAAGACAAGGTCTCACTATGCAGTTCAGCCTGGCCTTGAGCTCACTTTGTAGGCCAGAGTGGTCTCGAATTTGAGATAATACTGCCTCAGCCTCCTGAGTGCTGGAATTCTAGGGGTGTGCCACCACACCTGGTTTGGAGTGCACTTTTTTGAACCCCTTCATTGGGACCTGTTAAGGTCATGTGGAGCCCTTTAAAATCTCACAGATGCCATCCCAGGTCCTCTGTAGTTCTTGTGAGCTGGTGGTGTAATTTCATGATTGCTAACAAAACCAAGCAAGCAAGTTTCTCCTAATCCCCAGGGTTTCCATTTCAGAAATGGAAGCCGCTTCCCATGAAATCCTCCTGCGTTTGCCAGCTCTCTGGTTGCTCCTCCTCTTGCCTGAACCTGTCTGAGGAAGGCTGTTGGCAGGGAGCTGCTGCAGGGTGTTCTGTTGGTGTCTGTGCCTTTCCCTCCGCCAGTCGAAGAGGGAGGCACACAGGAAACACGGAACGGAAGGTTGAGAAGGTGATTTCATGTCGTTGGCCCAATCCCCGCTGGCTCTCTTCTCCGCCTCTGCCTGCAGCCACTCTCCTGGTCCTGCCAAGGGAGGCCTGAGTTAGTCAGGGTTTGCTGTCCGGCCCAGGGGTCTGCACTAGGAGGAGGGTTTCATGTTTGCCTGGGCACAGGATTCAGACTCAGCCAGGGCATTTCCTAGACAAGTGTCCCAGGCCCCTCCCTGGGCAGACTCTGAACCTCTAGGAAACTATGTATTTGGTCTCGTGGGTCTTTGGGAGAGCAGAGCCTGGGGAGTGGGGAAGGAGTGGGCACAGGTCTGGCAGTGGCCTAGAAGAAGGGACTCCAGCTCTGAGGATCACAGAGGCAGGAGCATTGTCAAAAGAAGTCTCCCCTTCCTGGGAGGCCGTTTCCCTGATTGTGGCCAGTAAAGACCCTGAAGGCCCCGCTGCTGCCCTTGCCTCGTCCTGGTCATGGCCAGGGCCTCCTTCCCCAAGGTGCAGGGATTCCTTCTGTTGGGGTCAGAGCCACATCATGGGAGGGATCGCACCATGGGCTTCCATGAAATGCCATCTTCAGTCTCCTGTGTTGACAAACTGTGGAACAAGGCATTTGCAAGGTGATAAGGGCATAGCATGGGGACAGAGGGAGGAATGTGTTCCAACACAGGCAGATGTTTGTCTCCCTGGATGGTACGGGAGGCATTTTCTCAAACCCCAGTCAGATCTGGGCTCTCTCTTGCTTTATACCTTTCCATAGCTCTCTCACCTTCTAGACAAAGCCCAAGTTCCTAGGTGTGGCGTGGGTTTTTCTAAATCCTCCTTCATTTACCCCAAAACTGCCTTTCGCCCCTATTTCTGCTACAAACCCACAAGTTCTCTCTGTCCTTTGCTCATGGTCTGCTCTTTCTGGGGAACATGCTTTCTTGGCTGGGCTGTCTTTCCCTGCTTGTCTGCCCTGTCACCCTGGCCTCATTTGGTAGAAACCTCTTCTTTCCATACTGTACTTCTGCCAGGCTCCCCAGGGCTCCTGCAGCCTTTCCTCTTTGCAGCCTTAGCACCTGGCAGATGACTTGGTACAGGGTAGCTGCTTGGCGAACATCTGTGTGGTGATTGTGTGGTCTACCAGTGTCCATGCCAAGACAGCATCAGTGAGAACATCTCATGCTGGGAACGATTTGTGCTGATTAGAGGAGCATACAACTGGCTTCCTGGATTCCTTTACCCAGTAATAAACAACTCCACAATGCTCATTGCAGGGCTGATCTGGGTGAGATAAGCTCCAGATAGCCCCACAATTCCAGATGTCTCCACACATACACACACAGATAGAGCCAAATGAGTCTAGAAATGAGGTTTTATTTGTAACTGTATACCTTGGCTACCTGGGAGCGTGTTTAAAAATCCAGCATCTCAGGTCTTCCTCCACAGAACCCCAATCTGCATGTGAGTGAGGTTCACAGTGATGTGTTCTCCTATGAAAGCTTGAACAGTACTTTCTAGGGCCTTGGAGGGTTTGCCTGTAACTCTTTGCTGGGAACAGAGAAACCACCTAGTATGCAACTAAAGAAAGGTTTGTTGTGTGAGGATTCAAGGAGACACTCAGGATCTCATGGGAACCTGAGTGCAGGAACCACAGTGGATTTAGTTCTCAATGGAACTGGGCCTTGTGAGGTTTTCTTTCCTGATTTCAGCATCTCCGGCTTCTGGATCAGAGACACTGATAATTCAGTGTGCAAAACCTATTAGCAAAATTCCTCTGTATGGGACTTCTTGGTTTGCAAGGAGTGATTCTGATTGGCCAGGGACCCTTTAGATGCAGGCAGGCACATAGTGAGAAACAAGGCCATTTGGGTCTGGTTTGTGGCATGGAGCTTTTACACTTATGTGTGCACAGGCAGCCACTCCACAGGCACAGATGAGTCTGTGCAAAGGGTACTGCTTTAAGGGGGTGCCCACTTCACCCCCACCCCATACCTGAGGCTGACACTGAAGGTACTGACTGCCAGGAGTCCTGGATGGGTATCATCAGAGTGGGCTGCCTCGTCCGCCACAGCCCTCCTTTCCATCTTTCTGTAACTGCATCTTTCTAGGGTGAGGCTGGTTCGGGTTCTATGTCCTCCTTTTGGGGTGGTTCTGGCGCACACATCCTTGTCTACCTGAAGGACCATGACTTGGCCCCTGTACCCCTCTCTCAGAGTATTTTTTCCTTTGCCCACCAGACTGAGGCTTATATGAAGCTAGTGTCTCTTTGCCGTGCCCCCTGCCTTCCTTTAATGCCTTTTTCCGAGCTTCCCTTTGCTCCCTGCAGTGACAGTGCATTAGAACGAGCCTCGCCTGCCAGGTCCGTTTCTTTTTTTTTTTTTAATTTCTGAGACAGGCTCTCACTACAGTTGAGGCTGGTCTTGAGCTCACTTTATAGCCCAGGAAGTTCTCAAACTCTCAACAATCCTCCTGCCTCAGCCTCCTGAGTGCTGGGATTGCAGGTGTGCACCACCACCTCTGGCCCAGGCCTGTTTCTCAGTCCACTCTACCAAGTGGGTTCTCAGATGGCTTCTCCAGCTGCACATGTTCATTCCCTGCAGGGCCTGTTGGGATGGGCTCAGGCTGTGGAATTGGACAGACCTGGTCACACCCCAGCTGAGTCCCCTTCTGCACTGGCTCAGACAAGTGGGCACAACAAAACCAGGCCACGGGGTGGGCATGAGATTTGAGGGCATTTATTATATGTGCAACTTGTAACGCAGCGCTTGCTGTGAGCACATGCCCATCAGCTGGTGACTGTTTTGTTTCATCATAGAAAATGGGGAGTTCCTTTCCCTGGATCTTGGAGGGTCCAAGTTTCGGGTCTTGAAGGTACAAGTCTCTGAAGAGGGGAAGCGGAATGTCCAGATGGAGAGTCAGTTCTACCCCACGCCCAACGAAATCACCCGGGGGAACGGCACAGAGGTACGGAGCGCAGTGGGTGCAGCGGGCCTCGCCCCAGCCGTGAGAAACTGTGCCCCAGCACAATGCCGGGTGCTTTCTCTCTGCAGCTCTTCGAATACGTGGCTGATTGCCTGGCGGATTTCATGAGGACCAAAGGGCTGCAGCACAAGAAGTTACCCCTCGGCTTTACCTTTTCTTTCCCCTGCAGACAGACTAAGTTGGAGGAGGTAAGGCCAGCGGGGTGAGAGACGCGGGCCTGGGCAGGACGAGGCCTGGCTGGGCACTCAAAGAGCAGCCGGGCCTTTCTGGTCTGTTTGTCTCTTTCTCTGCGTGGTGCTGAGGCGGCACAGCGTGAGGCCTCAATTCTGCCCTTCACGTGGCACAGTGTGTGGAGTGGGATGGTCTCCAGTGGTCCTCAGACCTCAGTGTACACAGAGGTCCCTGGAAGACCTCTTGGGATCTGTGGGGGTTCAAGAGCCTCCAGGAGAGGGAGACAGGGCTAGGGGAGATCCACTGAGAAGTTAAAAGTGCTTTGAGAAGGACAAGAGAATGAAAAGAAACACACACACACACATTAAACCCAGGGCCTCTCACATGCTAAGCACACGGTGGTCCCTGAGCCACACCCCCAAGGCCTTAATTTTTCTAATAAGAGGACAGAAAAGTCTTAGCCAAAGAGATGTATGCTGTGATGATAATTTAGTAATACTTTTTGAAGGTTAAATTTTTAAATATCTATCCTCCTTTTTTAAAAAAGAAGAAAATAGAAATCACCTCTAATGCCCACATCCAGAGATATCCACTATTAGGATTGTGAGGCTTTTTTTCTAGTCACAGCTATGTTAAGTATCTGGTGTGGTGCTGTGATGTATACACAGAGTCTGCCAAAAAGAAAGTATACACACACACACACACACACACACACACACACACATACACACACCAAAAAATGTATACACACTCCAGGAAAAGGAAAAACTTGTATAAGTATTTTAATATTAATTTTTAAAAATTCTTTTTATTTTAGTTTAGTTTTATTTTAAAGAAGGTAAAATAAAACAGAACAAAGCAGAGCAAAGAAATAAATGTAAGTGATGCAGGATTTCAAGCAAGACGAGATCAACAATGGATAATATAATGTCCTCTAAATAGTTGTCTACATCTTCACACACAATGAATTCATACTAAACAAAATAGTATAAAACTGATCAAAACAGAATAATGAAAGCATTACAGGCCTGCAAAACCGACAATAGGAAAATAGGCCAAGAGTGTAAGAGGCAAGGGCCCCGGCTAAAATCACACATCATCATCCTTGAACTGTCATTTGGGAAATACAAACTGAATATTCAAATTGTGAGCAAGTAATCTTCCAGGAATGCCTGTCATGCTGGCACTCTGGGAGACCTAGGCAGGAGAATCCCAAAATTCAGATCTAAGACCAGCAAGGGACTTAGCTCAGGGGCTTAAGTGCCTGCCTGGCAAGCATGAGGTCATGAATTCAATTCAGGGTACCAAAACAAAACAAAACAAACAAAAGAAAAGAACTTCAAGCCCAAACTGGACAATTTAGTGACTCAGCAAGATCTCATTTAAAATGTAATTGTAATTTAAATGTAATTTAAAATGTAATTCAGCACTGTAGGGAGACAGGAGGAAGGGACTGAGGGAGAGAGGGAGAAGGGGATGGGGGAAGCAGGGAAAGAGAGAAAGGGTAGAAACTTCTAGTTGGATGAGGTGGTAAGATCCTGCAGCCTAATTTTTGTTTTTTAAACCAGTGTTTCATTATATAGTTTAGGCTGGCCTTGAACTCACTTTGTAGCCCAGACTGGTATCAAACTCACAGGAGCAATCCTCCTGCCTCAGCTTCCCAAGTGCTAGGATTACAGGAATACTAAATTTCTGAGACATCATGAGATTAATACAAGTTACCTTTGGCCTGTAGAACTATGAAAGATGCTCAAAGCGCTGGTCACTGCCTTCCGACGTTTGAGTCACCTGGACCTTTGAGCTCGCCACACATGCACTCTCAATTTCTTCTCTAAGGGCCAGCAGTGTAGTGGGTTTTTTGTGATAGATGCCATCCTCCAGGTTCCCCACAGGAGGGTAACACCATCTATTGAAAAACATCCAGAACTATGTATACAGTTTTTTGGGCAGACTCTGTACATATACCTCCTTCTTTGTCCCCAGTAGATCTCACACACCGTCCCCAGCAGCTGTTTTGAGGGAAGCTGCCCTTTATCTCTGGCTCTCCTATCTCATCAGGCCAAGATGTGGCTCTTATCGTAAGGAGGCAGAAGTTAGAGAGATCTGCCACAGGGTGGCGCTGTGGTGCAGGACAGAAACCCAGCCTCCATTTGGATTCAGACCTGCTGTCTAATTGGGCTTGGTCCTTTATTGCTGTGAGCCCTATAGAAGTTTCCTTTTCTTTTCTTTCTTTCTTTTTTTTTTTTTTTTCTGCTCTGTTTTGTGTTTAAAGAAGTTTCCTTTTCTCTAAATCTTGATTTCCTTACCCATAAACTGAGAGCACTGGAAGAGGTGTGACGGGAGGCTATCAGACAGTTTTGAGTAGTTCTGTTAATATTCAAGTTTTCTTTTAGTCTGAAAAATTCTATGATTATTTGTGATTTAGATGTGGAATTCTTAGGAAATACCATTTGTAAGGAAATAATTGATAATGCAACATGAGAAGTTAAATTTAAGTCCTTGGCTCAAACCTGCAATTCCAGCACTCACAAGGCAGAGGCAGGAGGATCATTGTGAGGTCGAGACCAGCCTGGGCTACAAAGTGAGCTCAAGCATAGCTTGTACTGCATAGAGAGACCCATCTCAAAAAGACCAAAAAATAAAAATTAAGTTCTTGACAGAGTCCTATAAGGTAACATCGTTAGTTCGCTTTTGGGACCTGTGAATTGTATATTCCACACACGGTATGTAGTCACTACACAGCAGATATTAACAGCACATGTGTGTGGGAGATGTGATATTTCCTCACTTCCTCCCGGGGTGGGGGGCAATTTTTCCATTATACTACTGAGTAAATTGAGGCTCAGTGTCTTACAAATCTGTCTTCTGGCTCTTTGGCAATTATTTTCTGTTATGATATTTCAGCCTTCTCAAATGGATACATAGGTTTTAAATTACCAGAAAAGCCCTCCAAAACAATACTAAAAGAATCTATTCACAAGCCAGGCATGGTGTCTCACGCCTGTAATCCCAGCACTCGGGAGGCTAAGGCAGGAGGATCGTTGTGAGTTTGAGACCAGCCTGGGCTACAAAGTGAGCTCAAGGCCAGTCTGAACTGCATAGCAAGACCATGTCTCAAAAAAAATAATCTATTCACAATAGGCAAGATATGGAACCCACTTATGCACCCACCAACATACAAGAGTTATACATATGTATGATGGGATGTTATTCAGCCATAAAAATCATGAGATCCTCATGGCAATGGAACACTACACAGCCATAAAAAGCATGCGATTTTGTCATTTTTGGCAATGTGTATGGGCCTGGAGGACATTATAGGAAATGAAATAAGCCAGGCACAGAGAGATAAATCCCATGTGACTTCACTGATTCTGAATGGAGGAAAGCTGATCCTGTAGAGGTGGAAAGTAGAAAGGTGGTTTCAAGGGACTGGGGAGGGTCAGAGGTAGGAAAGGATGGGGTGAGAATTACAGCTGGGTGGCAGAAGTAGCTGCTGGTATCCTACTGCACAGTAAACGGGCTGTCATTGAGAAGATTACATTGTCTGCATATTTCCAGACTCCTAAGAGAGGACTCTGAATACTCTCATCACAAAGAAATGATTAATGTTTGTGGCGATATGCTAATCATCCCGTGCAGTCACTACACACTGCACACATACATGGAGACCTCGGGCTGCGCGCCCTAAGTAGATGCAATTATTACGCATCAAAGACAAAATTAAAAAAAAGAATCAGAGTGATTCAACTTTGAGAAGGAAGCCACATTTCTGCAGCTTAGGGCGGTGTTGAGCACCTTCTCACCGTGCTGGGTCTCACATCTTCCCACAGGGCATCCTGCTGTCATGGACCAAAAAATTCAAGGCACGAGGAGTGCAGGACACAGATGTTGTGAGCCGCCTGACCAAAGTCATGAAGAAACACAAGGTGAGAAGCTCCAGGTGGCTGGGCCACCCCGCCCCTCCTCCTGAGCCCTTTCCCAGGGTGGGGATGCTGTCCTGTGCCTGCCTGAAGGGAGAATCGGGTAGGAAGTGCAGAGATGGCTAAGTTGGTGAATCCACAGGAGGGCAAATGTTTGCATGCAGGGGGAATCCTATCACCCCTAAAGGTAGCCCAGGGCCTGCTGGGGTCTCCACATGCCGTGGCCTCAGGGGACATGGTTAGCCCTGAACTGCGTGCAAACCCCCTCCTCTTCTTTGAGACTGAAAAGCTTACTTTCTTTGGATCCTGGCTCTCTTCCACTTTTCACTCTCTGTTAAGCCAGGTTGCTGGTTACCCTGATAGCGAGACAGGTACAGTGCGCTGGGGGTTGGAGCCAAAGCTCCTCAAAGGCTGGGCAGGCAGTGTACCGCAGAGCTGTTGCCCCAGCCCTAAAATGTTTGGACGTGCAGCCTTCTGGTCCTTTGTCTTTTGAAAGCTGGGATCCTATTCCTTTGTAGCCTGCATTTTCCTCTTCCTGTTCTCAGCTGACTTTAGCAGGTTCCTCCAAACCCAGGAACTTTTGGTGTTTGAACAGGAAACAGGCAAGACACCATGGTGCTGCCCCCAGGCTGAGCTGTACTCATGGCCGACGTGTCCCCACTGGCGAGGACTTGTTCCCAGCCTGAACTGCTTACCCCTGTGTCTTCCTGGGGCCTCTCAAACTGGGTAGACTCCTGCTTGCCCTTTGCACAGAGGTCTTTGCCTAGACAAAAGCCTCATTTCTCCGGTCAGGCCCAGTGGGTAGAACCTAGCACTGTCTCAGCCAGCACTAGAGTCCCCTGTGGGAAGGAATCGTGCCCGCTTCCACCCACTGACGCCCTCTGTACCTTGTGCTCAACAGGACCTGGATGTGGACGTGCTGGCCTTGGTCAATGACACTGTGGGGACCATGATGACGTGTGCCTACGATGACCCCTACTGCGAAGTTGGAGTCATCATTGGTAACTCCATTGGCGAGTTCTGGGGGTTTAGGGCTCAGTTTTGGAAAGCTGGGTAAGTGGGAAGGGCACTGATGTTCCTAGGAGAAGCACACAGGGAGGAAGAGCTCCCCGATTCCTTCACTTGGCCAGGGTTTCCTGAGCCCATGGGCCCTGTGCTCGGTACTGGGTCCCATGGTGGGTTGCTGTGCCCTGTCGAGGATTTCACGGAGGAGCTGGGGAGACCAAGCAGGCTTAGGCTAGTAGGATCACTTCTAGTGGTCAATGCTCAGGAACATGACAGAGTGAGGGGTGTGGACGGGGGCAGGAAGGCCTCTCTGTGGGGATGCTGGGCATGCACCTCGGCAACGAGGACACAGTACAGCTGGGGGAAGAGACCTCCTGGCTCAGAGTGGGGATGAATCTGGGCTGCTCGAGAAGCCCCAGAAAGCTGAGTGATGGCAGCTGCCTCCAGTGAGCGAAGGTTGAGGGAGTCGGGTGATTTGAAGCAGAGAGAGCAGAGGCACAGGGTGTGGGAAGCCTGCTGAAAGGCCACCAGCGTTGACCCTAGCAGGGGAAGCCCGGAAGACTGGGCCGGAGGATGAGTGGGGCACACTTTTAAACACTTATTTGGGCTGCTGTGTGGGGAATCGACTCCTGGACACAAGGGCGGAAGCAAAGTGACCAGTTAAGAGGCTACAAAGCCTGTCAGAGAGGACTGGGCCAGAGAGGGCGGCACCATGGAGGTGAGCAGTGCAGGGGAGAAGGTCTGTGGATGTCAAATTGATCTGATTCACAAGGTTTTTCTTTTGTCCTATCATTCTTTTTTTGGGGGTGAATTTTCTTCTTTTTCTTCTTCTTCAGATTTTATATACCTAATGAGCACACTTATCATAGAGAATTGGTACCTGTGCATGATCTCCCACTGAGTTACAGCCTCAGTCCCTTGTATTTATTTCGAGACATGATCTTGCTAAGTTGCCCAGGTTGGGGTAGAATTTGTGATCCTCCTGCCTCGGCCTCCCAAGTACCTGGGTTACATGTGTGCACAACCTCACTTGACTTACATGTTGTTCCGAATGTCCATTTTCCCTCTTCCCAGCCCTCTACCAGGGATGGGCAAGTTTTCTGAATTTCCAAAAGCACTTCCTTAGCGTGACTTTCCTGAAGCGCGGAGTCATTAGACCTGAGCATCCCTGTGGAGCTCCCTGTTTCTGGTGGCCTCGTGCCTCAGAATGGGAGCGACACTTGTCATCGCAGCATCCAGCTGCTGTCCCTTGCCCGGCTTGGTGGCTGCCTCTGGTGACCCATAGGTTGGGTACTACCCCTGAAGTGGCCATGCTTCCTTCCCCAAGCAGACCTTTTGCCAAAGAATACTTCACATTTGCCTTTGCATGTTTCTCAGTTTTTATGCTGGCACTTAAAATCCTCAGAGCAGAGGACTGGTCCGGTGAGGATTGCAGGAAGTTTCCTCCCAAGGAGCTTTACCAATGTGCTAAAGTTCTCTTGCTTTGGACGTACAGTTCAATGGTTTTTAAAATAAATCTACAGATATTTGTAACCATACATTCTCGCTGTGTTAGTACATTCGTCTGTAGTAGGGGAGGACTGCATTCATTGCAGGGAGCAGGCACATGTGCAAAACACATCTTAATTTTTTTATTCTCTTTCCCCTCCCTTCTCTCTGCCTTCCTTCTCTCTGTCTCCAAATCCCTTTAAATTTCTACCAAAGGTCTATCTCCTTGTTTCCTGTTGCCTATATTATTTCTTGCTCTTTAAATTGTTTATACTTTGGGTTTCTCATGTAAGAGAAACCACGCACTATTTAACCTTGAGTGTCTGATTTATTTCACTTAACATTATGGTCTCAAGGTGCATCATTTTCCTATAGATGACTCAAATTTACCGTTCTTTATTGTAGAGCAGTGTGTATAAACTGTGTATAAACACATTTTCTCTATCCATTCATGTGTCCTGACGATGGATGGATAGACCACTTCCAAGATTTAGCACCTGTGAATTGTCCTGCTATAAACATGGGCATGCTTGGATCACTGTAGTATGAAGTCTTTAATTCTTTCTGGAGATTCTGGAGGGAGAAGAGCCGAGTTGAATGAAATTTCTAGTTTTAGCTTTTTCAGCAGTCTCCATACTGATCTTCTTGATGGTTCTATTAGTTCATGCTCCCAATAATGATGTAAAAAGGTACCTTTTCCCCCATAGCCTTGATGGCATTTGTTACTGTGTGATTTCTTTTTTGTTTGTTTGTTTTTTGGTACCGGGGATCAAACGAATGTGCGCTTGCAAGGCAGGCACGTATGCCTCTGAGCTAAATCCCCAGCAACTGTTTGATATCTTGATATGTAACATTCTAATTTTCTATCAGCTCCATCCCCCCAAATCCCAAGCAGGTTGTACCCGTGCACAGCTGTTCCCTAGTTCTCCATGTCTGAAGCATTTCTTTGGGTGATTTTGTGGTTGAGTAACGTTGCTCTCTTAGGTAATTGCTAATCACTGTCACAAATCAGACGTAGCTTATACCAGGAACAGTTTTTGGCAGATCATGAATAGCTTTAGTATCAAACAGAGAGGGATATAAGTGGCTTAGGGAAAGGGTTTTTGAAAAATGACTCTGACTTGCGGAGGGGTGAGATTTTTATGAAATATTTATAAGGTTAGCTTAACTCGTGGCCCTCTTATAAGTGTGCCTTGTCAGCTTCCATGCATATTCACCAGGAGCTGCCTCACAATGGGCTCCATTCACCCAGGAAACCATTAACACCCGAGAGTATAGACTCACAAGTCAGCTTCGTTCCTCGTGAGCTCGGGGCTTGCCAACCCGCTTTCCTCAGCCAGAACCGGGAGGACTGCAGGCAGTTAGTTCTCTCTCTTTTGCCCAGCCGGGAGCCCTCTGCTCCTTGCGTATTCTGTGTGATCCCCTTTCAGGCACCGGCACCAATGCATGCTACATGGAGGACATGAGCAACATCGACCTGGTGGAAGGCGACGAGGGGAGGATGTGCATCAACACGGAGTGGGGGGCCTTCGGGGACGACGGGGCCTTGGAGGACATCCGCACCGAGTTTGACAGGGAGCTGGACCTCGGCTCGCTCAACCCGGGGAAGCAACTGTGAGCGCCCTCTCGCTCCGGGGCTCTATTACTGCAGCGCCTTGTTGAGCAAAAAAGTAGTTTTTAAAAATTAAAAATTTAAAGTTAGATTTATGGAAAAGTTGTGGAAATAGTACAAAATCCCCCCCCCCTTTACTCAGATTCATTAGATAAGAACATTTCCTCTCCCTGTATGTCTGTGTATCTGTGTATCTACATAAAATGCAATTATGTGTGTATCGGGGATCCCTCTGTGAGCTTCCAATCTCCTGTGAGGTGTTGTGGTGCACAGTGAGAGAGGAAAAAAAGAAAGAAGAGCAAGAGACAAAGTGCTGGACAGAGGGGATCGGAACTATCAGTTTTTCTCAAGGAACAAAAGCCACGAGGCAACCAGAACCTCAGCATTTATGGACTGATGAGAGGATCTGAGGAAGGGATTATCCATGACTCAGAGACCAGAGATGGCTTTGTGCTAAAAAGGATCTTGCCTTTAGTCTTTGTCTTTAGCCTTAGTCTTTGTCTTAGTGGTTTTAGTTTTAGTGGCAGGACCCTAAAGAGATCATGGGAAATCTCAAAAGGCTGATACCTCTGTTTATCCCTCAGGAAAGTACGTAAAACTAGTTATTGTAAATTTGTGGTCCCCAATATGCATGTATAAAGTTCTTCTTTCCTGAGCTATTTAAGACTAAGTGCCCTTCAATGGCCCCCATGTTCTCTGGACATGTTCACATTGCTCCCCAAGAAATTTTTTATTTTCTGGGCAGATAACATGTACCAGCCTCAGCTCTAGAATCCATTATTTTGTCAGGGTACCCTAGTATCACCTAGGAACGACCCGGACACCTGTGCAGCACATTCCTGTCCCCAGCACACCCTGGCTCTCCTGGTGACAGATGGCCTTTGATTTTGTCTTACTGCACTTGGAAAATGGAAGTTACATGTCATAGTTCACCCAGGAGGTGGTGAGCAGTTACCTAATGTGCAGAGGAGAGGTGTGGGCAGCCTCAAGGGACAGTGTTCACCTGTGTCATGTGGACCCTCTCTGGGGCTCCCCATGCTTGACTCACAGACAGCATCTTTCTTAGATAGAGACGGATGTAGGAGTTGGAAGCACTTGAGTCTGACATTTGGTCAAATGACCCTTCAGAGTACCTGAAGTTTGATGTTGAGGTTCCTTATGCCCCACATGTACCTCTCCCCGCCCTCCACTGGTCAGGGTGATCTGATGAAGATTCTTCGAGTCCAGTGCTTTTTGAGCAGGAAGAAGTCTCGGATGTCTTCCAGCTCAGCCCTCTCCTATTGTAGGTGAGGACGGTGCAGCTCAGAGAGGACAGTGTTCTCCTCCAAGGTGCACTGCCCTGTGCTGGCCAGAGGCCTCCTGATCTGTTGAGCTCCTGCCCTTAGCTGGCAGAGCTCCTGGGCTTGGGGAAGTGATGCTACATCACCAAAGGCCTTGCTGCCACTGATGGCTTCACCAAACTGCAGGTTCGAGAAGATGATCAGTGGCCTGTACTTGGGGGAGCTCGTTAGGCTCATCTTGCTGAAGATGGCCAAGGCTGGCCTCCTGTTTGGTGGTGCGAAATCCTCTGCTCTCCTCACAAAAGGCAAGATTGATACGCAACACGTGGCCGCTATGGAGAAGTAAGTCACTGGCCACATCCCTGTCACCTCATCCCTGTGGGGCTTGCGTGGGTGGCCAGGCACAGTGTGCTCGGGCATTGAAACAGTGGTAGGGACCAGGTTCTCCTCTTCCTCTTCCACCAGGGGGTTATCGGGCCCGGTCACAGCTGCAGATGGATTAGCAATTTCTGCCACGATTCAGATGCCACATTCTTGTTGAGTTCATCATCTAGAGTGCTACTTTCAGAGGCCACCCCTCCCCATGTTCTACCTCCTTTTCCTCTGTAGAGTGGTGACATAAATTTTTTTATGGCCACAGACCGTAAAATGCAATTATGAATTGCTTTTGAAAATCTGATGTAAGTTCTGGGTGCGTTATTCCATGGATGCACATTTGTGCACAGGTTTGCTTACAATATCAGGGCCTTGTTGGAGAATCCAAGTTAAGTGCTCCAGCTATAACAAGAGCCTTCTCCACCTGCTCCTAGGCTGGCTGGGCTTGGATTTGGAGATGTGGAGTCTTTCACTCGGAGACCTAGAGTAGGGAATAGGAATACTGGGGCAGGTCAACTCACGTCCTGCTCCTGGAGTCCCTGGTGTTGCAGTGAGCCATGTAATCAGTGTAGATCTTGAGCTCAGCAGAGTGGCACTGGTGCCCATCATCTGTGTCTGTGCAGAGCTTGGCACCACAGTTTCTGGGAATGGCAGAATAGCAATTAAAAATGTGGACTCCAAAGTTTCCCTGTGCTTAAACCTTGGCTCTAGCACTGATTAGCTAGGTGATCAAGGACAAGTTATTTTCTCTCCCTGTACCTTACATCTCTTATTTGTATAATTTGATGGCAATAGCTCTTCTGACTTGGTGTTGTTGTATAAATTAAATGAGTTCCATGTAAAATCTTTGACAGTGTGTGGCACATACAAAGTGTCCTGTAAGCAGTAGCTGCTGTTATCAATGCTGATATTAATACTGTGTTGCTATGAGCCAGCCTATTTATTTACCCAACCCCAAGAGGCGGGACAGCTGGTGCCCCCAGGAGGATGCCCACAGCGTGGAGGCATGTGGTTCTCTCATTTTGATTCCTGGGAAGGTATAAAGAAGGCCTTGCCAATACAAGAGAGATCCTGGCAGACCTGGGTCTGGAGCCGACCGAGGCTGACTGCATTGCTGTCCAGCATGTGTGCACCATCGTCTCCTTCCGCTCGGCCAATCTCTGTGCAGCGGCCCTGGCGGCCATCCTGTCACGCCTCCGAGAGAACAAGAAGCTGGCCCGGCTCCGGACCACGGTGGGCATGGATGGCACGCTCTACAAGATACACCCCCAGTAAGTGCAGCCAGCCAGCCCACACCCCTACAAATAAATCTAGGCAGCTGGAACCAACCATCTCTTTTTTGGTACCAGGGATTGAATTCACAACCTCGCAGTCATCCTTATGCCGCTGAACTAAATCGTTGGCCCCCAACCACCTCTAAATAGTTGTGGAAGCAGAGCCTCCTACTTTCATCTGCTAGCTAGGGTCCTTTCTGGAATGACTCTTAAAGAAGTGGTCTGCTGAAGTCAATCACCTTATCAGGATGGCCATCCATCCATCCATGTGTCCATCTATCCACCTACCCACATACGCATGCATGTATTCATCTGTCCATCTACCATATGTGTCATCCATTCATTCATCCATTCAATGTCTATCCATCTATCCATGCATCTATCCATGTGCCATCCATCCATGCATTGCCATATCTATCTATCTATCTATCTATCTATCTATCTATCTATCTATCCATCCAGTGTCTATTCATATATCCATGCATACATTTGTATACTCATTCATCTCCCCATCTATTTTGTCTCTCCACCCCCACTCCTATCTGTCTATCCATCCATCCATCTAACTATCCATTATTTATTGAATATGTGCTATGTGTAAGACTGGAAAGTAAGACACACCTAGCTGTAGGTGGAGAAAAAGAGAGATGGCAGAGGTTGCTGAATTCAATGAAAGATCCTGGTAAGAAGTTGCATGGAAAAGAGAATTTCTCATAAAAAGAGAGTCAAAGCCCCTTTGCCTATGAAGGTGATAGTAGAAATTAACTATGTACGCTCTAGAAAGATCCGAGAAACAAAATCCTTTTGGAAAGAGATGGTGTCCAGCTAACACATTACACATGGACAACCCACCCTGGTTGAAAGGTTACCCAATCAGATAGGCACTTGCACTGCCCTCCTGTCCTCATCACCATCATAACTTGCCTGGCCTCCATACCAGCCAGCCATAAGAGGGTAAAAGGGTGAGCCTTGGCCTGGCAGGACCTTCCAGGCTGATTCCCCACCACACTGTGTCTGTTCCTATTGGCCAGATCTAGCCTTTATCACTGTTAAATATTTTGCCTCCATCTCTACCTTCAGGTACCCCAAACGCCTCCACAAGGTGGTGAGGAAACTAGCGCCGAACTGTGACGTCCGCTTTCTACTGTCAGAGAGTGGCAGCACCAAGGGGGCCGCCATGGTGACTGCAGTGGCCTCCCGTGTGCAGGCCCAGCGGAAGCAGATAGATGAGGTTCTGGCTTTGTTTCGGCTGACCCGAGAGCAGCTTGTGGATGTGCAGGGCAAGATGCGTGCTGAGCTCGAGTACGGGCTGAATAAGAAGAGCCATGCGCTGGCCACAGTCAAGATGCTGCCCACCTATGTCTATGGCATGCCGGATGGCACAGGTGGGTCAGCACAGCCTGGTCCTGAAGGGCCACCATGAGCTGCCATCAAAACCCCTAGTCCAGTGAAGTGTTCAGTTTTTAGATCCTTGAGTTCTCACCTATAAAGAAGGCGAGGGGCTGGGGAAAAGGTCCTTCACGCATGTGTGTGTGTGTGTCCTTGGGTGTGTGTGGGTGAGAACACGAGTGGACCCCATGCTGTGAACACACAGGAGTCCCAGATCTTGTTCCTGAGCCGCCATCTAGGTGCTTGGACTTGTCTGGGATTGTTTCATTCCTGTGGCGAGGGCTTCCTCTAGGACAGTGGCGGTGAACCGATGGCACGTGTGCTGGAGCAGGCTGTTATCACTGAAGGCTCTAAAAGGTTCGCCATCACTGCTGCACAGACAGGATGGGATGCCTTCTGAAGTCTCCTGTAGTCTGTGTAGACTGGGCTGGGTTCTCTTTTGAAGATCCTTGAGTACAATTTCAAGTAGAGCTTCTTCCGAGGCCATGTGCCTGGCACATGGTGTCATGGGGCTCCCTGGAAGGCTCTAAGTCAATAGAGTTTAGAGCTGGAAGCACCCTCAGAGAGACTTACAACTCTGCAGATGCAGCAAGACAGGGCCTCTCCACTCCTGCTCAGGATGGAAAGCCCTCTCTCAGAACCCCGGGCCCTTGCTTCCAGTCGAGGACTCTTTTCAAGGCACCTCATTGGTGATAGTGTAGATGGTATCTCAGACTTTACTATAGGGGAAGTAGAGCCAGGAAAAGGTCTGGCCTCAGTCAAGCTCAAGGTGCCAGCCCAGGGTCTGATGCCCCTGTGGTCTGGGAGCCCAAGAGATCAGACTCCAGGTCTGCTCGGGCCAGGGCATCTCCCCTTCCTCCTAACACCGTGACACACGCTCCCCGCTCAGCGTGTGCTGGTGGGATGCACCTTCATCTTCTTCGCCACAGAGAAAGGAAAGTACCTTGCTCTGGATCTGGGGGGAACTAACTTCCGGGTCCTCCTGGTGAAGATCAGAAGTGGACGGAGGTCAGTGCGAATGTACAATAAGATCTTTGCCATCCCTCTGGAGATCATGCAGGGTACTGGCGAGGAGGTGAGTACCAGGCAGAGTTGTGTGCCCTGTGGGTGCCAGCCTGCCCTCCCATCAGCGCCCACCTTGCATGAACGCCATTCTCTCTGCAGCTGTTTGATCACATTGTGCAGTGCATTGCTGACTTCCTGGAATACATGGGCCTCAAGGGGGCCCAGCTCCCTCTGGGCTTCACGTTCTCCTTTCCCTGCAGGCAGACGAACATCGACAAGGTGAGTCCCCACCCCAGGTTCTTAGCCATCCTAGGGACCTCCCTGCTCCACCAGGGGCAGATCATGGTTCCTCTGGGCCGCTATTCTTTTATGCTGTTTTTTGAGACAGGGTCTCCTTATGTAATTCAGGCTGGCCTTGGACTCAAAGTGATCCTCCTGCCTCAGCCTTCTGAGTGCTGGGATTACAGATAGACACTACCATACCACACTGGGCCACTATTTTTTTTAAGGGTTACAGTTTTATGCAGCTGAAAGCATGTGGTAGAACATTTTAGTCACTTAAGTTTTTGGGCTTATTATACTCTATTTCTCATTACCTTTTGGATTGAAGTTTTGGAATTTAGAATATTATTGTCCTTTGGTACCTGCAAGGAATTGGTTGCAAGACCCTCCAGACAGGTGCCAAAATCCACAGACACTGAATTCTCTTTTATAAAACAGCATAAGAGCAGGGGTGAACTTATGGCACATCTGTTAGTGTGTTTTTCTTTCAGGATGAAAGATGTTAATGTATGAGTTGTTTTTCTAAACAAAAACCTCAACATTCAGTAATTGAAGTATAGGTACTTTGCAATAAATAAGTGGGTTTTAGGTTGCAGTTTGGCACTCGGTCTCTTAAACTGTCATCACTGGCATAGATTTCTTATAAATTATAATATACACTATGTAAATAGTTGTTGTATTACATTGTTTAGGGAAAAAGGACAAGAAAAAAATTCTGTACATGTTTAGTACAGACAGGCTTTTTTTCTAAATATTTTTGATCCATAATTGGTTGAATCTGAGGGTGTGGAACCTTCAGACACAGAGAGCTGACTGTAATATGCAAGTCTGTGTACTACCACTGCTCCAAGAGGAGAGATAGAGAGTTGTAATGGAGAGATGTAAAAAGTTAGAGTGACCAGCAAAGGCAAGTTACAACTCTTGGCTGATGATATCTGCTGTGTGTTGCCGAACAACTAGTGTAAAGAAAGAAATTTAGGTTGTGGGGATTCGTTGTCTGATGAAAGAAAATGTACTGTATATCATAAGAAATATATTTCTTAAGTCACACCTGCATGTATAAACACTATATTGTCTTGCTAGTGTAAGAAATTGAAAGAGTAAATAAGAGCCAAAAGGTACAATAGATACAGTAAAGAGGAAAGGAACTGCTCAAAGGGAAATTATATTTTTTGATTAATTTTGCTTGCCTGTATCTGGTAATCTGAGCAACTATTTTGAAGATAACAATATGCAATATAAAAACCATTGTTAAATTCCTGTCATCTTAAATTGAAATCCTATATTGCAGGGATTTTTTTGTTGTTATCATTTTGCTTTTGTTGTTTTTGGTTTGCTTGCTTCTTGATTTTTCTGTGTTTTTTACTCTTTAAAAAAAGAAATGTCTTTCTTGATATTAGTATCTCAGACAGAATTTATCATATGGAGACTTATTTAGCTGACATCAAAGAATATCATAATATTTTAATAGATAATACATAATAATTTGTGACTATCATGAGGTCTTGCTTGGAATTCTTGTATAAAAACGCTCAAAGTTAATTTCATGTATAATGAGTCAAAGTTTTTTATTCAGGACTCAGCTAGGCCAGGTGTATAGATTTGTGGCAAAGCAGGTTGACCTAGAGGTGGGGCTTAGAAAGTGAGGACTGGATAGCGAGCTGCTCTTTGGATGACCTGGAGTCCCAGGGGCCTTGCCTGGGGCTGGTGGTGTGTGTGTGGGTGGTTTGTGGCTGGGATGGTGACAGTGGGCAGAGATATCTGTGATGCAGATTAAGGAAGACAGGGTGAAGCCTCTAGTCATAGACTTGCCCTTCTGTAGTGCCTCAGGAGAAGGTCCAAATGTGCCCCCAGCAGAGAGGTCCAGTGTCCTTCCCACAACAGAGCAGCCCGGTGGACAAGTCCACAAGCTCTGGGGTCCCAGGCTGCCAGGGTTTCATAACTGCTTCCTACATAAATAACGTTCAGCAGGCCATTGCCCTTCTTGAAGGCTTATTAAAAATACTCAACTTGCTAGGATCATGGTGAGATTAAGTGAGTTAAGGTAGCTAAATCCCACACACACATCCGTAGTGTTTGTTCCGGGTCAGACACTGTTCTAAGTACTGCATGGACGGATGTTCCCTTTCCTGCCAGATTGCTTGGATTTGAATCTTGGCTGAGCATTTAGTGGCTGGGCCAACTTGGGCAAGTTATTTAACCTCTCCATGCCTTAGTTCCTCACTTAAGGATAAAAAGGCTACTTATTTTACAGGTGTGTTTAGTGGATCTTAAAATTTCTGTGCAATTATACTTGTATTGTGCTCAGTGAAGGAAATGTAGCAGATTCATAATAAGCAAGATATAAAGGTCTAAAAGATGCATTACTGAACAAGAAAAGCAAACCGCAGTAGTTCACACACAGTATAAACATATGTATTTAAAAGCGCGTGTAGAGCTGGGTGCAGTGGTGTCTGCCTGTGACTCTAGCTACTTGAGAGGTTGAGGGAAGAAGACTGCAAATTCGAGTCCAGCCTGAGCAGTTTAATGAGACTTTGTCTCAAAATAAAAAATTAAAAGAGCTACGGGTATGACTCAGTAGAGCACCTGTGCCCAATCCCCAGTACTGGGGAAAAATTACAGGCAGACAGAGAAAAATGTCTAGAAGGGTTCCTATGAGATCGGTAATAGAATTTACCTCCCAGAATAGGGGGTGGGGAGTCAAAGGGCAATGCATCCTCATTAGCAGTGTTTTAGTTTTTTACCAGACTACTTTATTCTTGTGCTCCTGTTACTGCTGCCATGAAAAATTAATGCACCGCGGCAGAGCTGCGTGTTGCTGTCCGAGGTCCTGAAGGGTGGATGGGTGCCGTGCAGAGCTGCACTCACCCAGGGCATTGGGTTTCCAGGCCCCTCTTCTCCCAGCAGTCTGACAACTTTGTGGGGACACAGTGGAGAGGGTGGGCAGCTGGAAGCAAAGCCACTAATGGCTAGGGAGAAAAGAGAGATTTAAAATATATATACACACGCTTGTTATATAATTTCATTTTTTTTTTTTTTTTGGTAGCAGGAATCAAACTTATGACCTTGTGCTTACCAAACAAGCACTTGAGCCACTGAGCTAAACCCCCAGCCCCTATAATTGAAATTTTTGAGAAAGAGGCTTTTTGGTCAGGGTGTCTCTAATTGTCTATATATGTGACCCAAAGGGAGCAATGGAGCCCAGTTTCTAAGGGCTGTGGAAGAAGGGAGACCAGGGCTTGCTGGCTGGGGGTCTCAAAGTGAGGGGGTGTCTGACCACAGGGTTGGGGCTGCTGTCAGATTTCCTAGCCACTTCTCCTGCCCCAAAGGCTCTCCTAGCCAGATACCCCACCTCTGCCAGCTGTCCCCACTCCTGGCTCTGTAGGCTGGAAGCTGAGCTAGGCTAGCTCCTGCCTTGGCTGACACAGTAACCCTGGCCTTCTTAAAAATCAAAATGCTTTTTATGTATTAAAAATAGTCAGAAAAATAAAAGTTAGAAATTAATCATAATTACATTAAATTATAAAAAGAAGAAATTAAAAAGCACTTACTAATAATCTTGCACCCAGATACAATCACTACGAACCCCTTTGATGTATATATTATTCTAGACCTTTGCCCAGGTTCAAGTGTATACATAATCTTTAAAAGTAAAGGGAGAACAGTCCTCTACCTGTATTTGTTTAATGAGCTTTTGCTTAATCATGTGTAATGAACATTTCCTCTCACATCCAGTGTTCTTATAACATGACTGTTTTTATGGCTGTATAACTTTTCTTTCCTCTTTCCTTCCCTTCCCTTCCATTCCATTCTCTTCTTTTCCCTTATTCTCTCCTCTCCTCTTCTCACTTTGTCTTTCTTTCTTTCTTTCTTTCTTTCTTTCTTTCTTTCTTTCTAGTCCTGGGGATTGGACCCAGGGATTTGCACATGCTAGGCAAGGGCACCAACACTGAGGTCCACTCCCATGCATATTTTTTGTATTGATGTTCAAGAGAGATTTCCTTGATATCACTGCAAGGACAGAATACCTTTAGTTTTTCACTTTTATTGTTGTCATTTATTTGTTTCTTGTCTTTTTGAGATAAGGTTTCACTACACAGTTCTGGCTAAACTTGAACTCACTTTATAGCCCAGGCTAGCCTCAAACTCACAGTGATCCTCCTGCCTCAGCCTCCCAAGTGCTGGTGTTACAGGTGTATGCCACTATACCTGACTACTTTTTCACTTTGAAACAATGCCTTGATAAATATTTTGTTACTTTATCTTTGATCATATCTCAGTGTGTCTTAGGCTAAATTAGGAATTGGATCCCACAAACTTTAATTCTGTGCATCATGGCAGGGGATAAGCTGACCCTTGAAGAACATGAGTTGCTACAGTGATTCCACCCCACGGTGAATGTGGCCTGGGCATCATGCTCTGTGACATCTCTGAGCCATGTTTAAGCCGCAGAGGCAGACGACAATCAAAAGCAGCTGCACACACCTGACAAGCCATCAGATTCAGTGCCTTGTGTCTACTAGGTAGTGAGGTTGTGCAGTGTCCTCATGAACCCTTGCTCAGATGAACTTTTCCTCTTTTCTTTCAGGGAACACTCATAGAGTGGACCAAAGGCTTTAAGGCCACCGACTGTGAAGGGGAGGATGTGGTGGACATGCTCAGGGAAGCCATCAAGAGGAGAAATGTAGGACTTGGTATTGAGGCTCATGTCTGACCTTGCTCCCTGGTCCTACACCCTCTGCTCTGCCATCTTATCTATGCCTGAGCCTGTATCTGAGGCCTCTGCTTGCCTTGGACCAAGGGGCCCCCTCACACATTCTGTTTCCAGTAAAGCTGTTTTATCTGCAGGAGTTTGACCTGGACATAGTTGCAATTGTGAATGACACAGTGGGGACCATGATGACCTGTGCTCATGAAGATCCTAATTGTGAGATTGGCCTGATTGCAGGTAAGTGGCCAGGCAGACGCCACTGGCCTCATCCCATCAGATACTCAAGAAGGTCCTTTTGAACATACTGAGGGGAGTGTGTGTGTGTGTGTGTGTGTGTGTGTGTGTGTGTTCATGGTTCCATTATGCAGAGGCCATATTCAAGGCAGGTTGAAACAAATTAAGACTGAGATTCCAGGCTGCCTATGCCCAAACTTTCACTTAATTTCTTGCTCCATTAAGGATTCTAAACCAAAACATCCTTATCTTTGGGGAAAGAAATGCCACAGAAGGAAGCGATTTTCACATTACATCCTTGGCCCTGCTTTCTTGAAAGAAGGAGATCATGGTTGGGTCACATTGACCTGGGGCTAAGGAGACTGGCTTTCATCCTGTCCCTAAGATGCACCTTCTCTGTCCTCTGGATTCCTTTGTCTCTCAGGGTGCATAGGAAAGGGCAGAGTTGGCAGTAAAGATAGAAAAGAGAGAGGAGCTGGGCATGGTGGCTCATGCCTGGAGTCCCAGCACTTTGGGATACCGTAGCAGGAGAATAGTGACAGCCCAGCCTGGAACTTAGTAAGATCTGTCTCAAAATAAAAGATAAAAAGGAGCTGGCATTATATCTCAGTGTGAGGGTCCTGGGTACAATGCCCAGAACTGAGGAGAGACAAAAGGAAGAGAGGGGAGTGGGCTGGGATGCTACAGGCATTTTAGGGGACTTCGGAAATTGTCTGGCAGTGATTAGGTGAAGGGTGGATTCCAGAGGGACTACTCTTCCCAAGAGATAGTGGGATGGGTGGGTTTTGACCAGCTGAAGATGAGGACAGAGGGCACTGCAGGTGACAGGCACAGAGGAGGCCCGAGTCTGAGGAAGTTGTTTGGTGGACTTGTCTGGTACATGGAGAAAGGTGCAGTCTACCGAGTGAGCTGCACCTTACTTGAGCTCTTACCTGCTTCATGAGCTCAGGGAAGATGCTTATTCTGTCTGACTGGGTTCCTCATCTGTGCAAGGGTTGGCAAGATGCAGGAGACCACAAGATGTCACTGATGGTGGCCTGGACTGCTGCACTGAGAACAGTTCTGAGGCTGGGTCATGGGCCGGAGAGATGAGAGCAGCTCACAGATGCCAAGTTGGTTTATTCGAGGCCAGATGATTCCGCCTGGTCGCTCCTAGTTCTCCGTAACTGCTAGTTCTCTGGATCTTTAGAAACCTTGAGTGCTTGTGGCTTAACGATGGTGATGTTTGTGATGAAGAAGATGGCAAGAACTTTACTGACTCTCTGTGTGTGGAGAAAGCTTCTAAAAATCAAACTCAAGGAATACTGAGCTACATCCCCAGCCCTTTTCATTTTTAGAGACAGGGTCTCATCCGTTGCTTAGCCTGATTCTGAACTTTGATCCTACTGCCTCCGCCTCCCAAGAAGCTGGGGTCCGCTGTGTGCCACAGAGCCCAGCAACGTTTTCCTTTTGTAAATGGAAACTGAGCCTCTGAAAGATGAGGCTCCTGCCCGAGGTCATCCAGCTATGGGCACAGAGCTGCAATGGCACCCAGCTGTACACCACTGCGAGCCTGAACTCCCATTCCCTGCAGTCTGCTTCCTCTCTCTGAGCCAGTGGTGTCTTAAAGTCACATCACATCCCCTCTAGGGACAGGAAGCAACATGTGCTACATGGAGGAGATGAGGAACATTGAGTTGGTGGAAGGGGATGAAGGGAAGATGTGCATTAACACCGAGTGGGGAGGATTCGGAGACAACGGCTGCATAGATGACATCCGGACCCAGTACGACAAGGAGGTGGATGAGGGATCCTTGAATCCTGGCAAGCAGAGGTGAGTAGGGTGGGTGCGAACATCTGTGCAAGTTGTGCACTGAGCAACTTCTCCAGACCCAAGGGAAGGGTTGGTTTTCTTATCACTGACAGGATAGCTGTGCATGATTATGCACCAGATGTCAGTGAAGTGCCTCACTGGAATGAAAGAAAAATATGACATTTCCACCAGGTGGAAGGAAGGGGCCCTTATTGTAATTGTCATAAATTGCTGTAATTGATTCCGGAAGTGAGGCTGTTGGTGTGTGAGGAGCTGGATGTCACAGAGCCAGGGCATGGTGACTTGGCAGGGTCTGGGGGAGGGTGGCTGCTAGGATGGGTGGGGGCGTCCCCATTCTCTACACCAGTCACATCTCACCATGTGCCACAATGCCCTGCGAGCTCATTCTGATGACTAACAATACTGAAAATAATGAGTGGCTTGAAGCAAATGAGATTAGATTTTTGCCTGCATCCCGCTAGGGTAGACAGGTGCAGCTGGGCCCGCACCCTGCAACAGGGTTGGGCAAACTTTCTCTGTAGAGGGCTACACAGTACATCTGAGCTCTTGTGGGTCACATGATCTTTATCACAACTAAGTGCAGCATCTTACCATAAAATAAGGGATATACAAATTTATTTCGATGAACATTATGCAAGTTGAGAGGTTGCACAGGGAGGAAATGGGACAGAAGCTTGGCCACTGTGGAGAGAGACCTGGGTGAGGTGGTCACTGGGCTCCTTTAGCTTTGCTGTTGGAATGCAGGGAGCTGTGGCAAGCCCAGCGCAGCCAGGAATTGCTCCAAGAAGGTGCAAGTTCCTCCTGATGCGGTTTGGTGTCTGTGTCTGCTGGGGGCACACATTTTTAGACTGAGAGTTGAAGGCGGCAGAGGACTTGAGATGGACTTGCAGTCAATGTTATTTTTCTGTCGTAGTGTCCAGGTCTTTGGCCTGCCAAAAACCAAAGACCAAAGACCAAAGACAAAAGAGGCTCTGGGTGGTTTAGAGAGCACAAGTCCAGCACTGAAGGCTCAGATGCACTCCTGTTTCTGTTTGCCTCTGCGGACAGCAGGGGTTCAGCTCTGTGCCCTTGTGAGGGGTGAGAGTGGAGTCATTCGGCTCCTCAGTGCCCTGCTACTTAGGAAGCCCCTTTGGTCTTGCATTTGGCCCTCTTGGAGCTCACAGCATGGTGGGAAGGGGAAAAGGAAAGAACATTTTTTAGGCGTGTTGATGTGTGCTGGTAATTTAAACATTATTTCATGGAGCCAGAAACAAAGCTAAGGAACATCTCCAGTAGAACAGATTTGCAACACAAAGCCAGGGAGAATTGGCTCTGGGGCCAAGAATGAGCTAGATTGAACTCTGCTTAGTGCCTTACAGTCACCTGCGTCCTGCACGTCCCAAGGGGTCCTGTCTTGCTCCACACTGGTTGCGGTGCTTGCTCTCATCACGCTGTGGGAAGCTGTGGCCTGGCTCCCCATCTATGTGGGGCTGAAGCCTGGCTTCCTCACATCCTACTGTCTCCCACAAGGTGTTGCTGTGGGTGTTGCTGGGTGACAAGGCCCACCCTGAAGCCCGGATTGTGGATGCCGGTGACATGACTTCCACACACAGCCCAGGGCACTTTCAGAGACTGCCTGCCAGAGCTGATTTTGCTGCCTTCACCACCAAACTTATTGCTCTTCCCCAAACAGATACGAGAAAATGACCAGCGGCATGTACCTGGGGGAGATTGTGCGGCAGATCCTCATCGACTTGACCAAGCATGGTCTCCTCTTCCGAGGGCAGATTTCAGAGCGTCTCAGGACCAGGGGCATTTTTGAAACCAAGTTCCTGTCCCAGATTGAAAGGTGCTGTATGGTCAAGCTTAACCACTTGTATAGATGCTGTGAATGGAATATGTGCTTATCATGCAGCGGTGGGCAGATCTGATAAAAAATCAGAAAGACCCCAAGTGGGAGAGGGCGGGTTCCTGCTCTGCTCTGTCCATCCAGCTGCATCATGTCACAGTCCAGAGCCAGTGACACAGTTGAGAGACCAGCAGACTGCCTGTGTGGCCTCAGAGCTCTTAGCAGAAATGATAAATCCTCCACCAATGTTCCGATAGGTGTACAGGGAGTTAGGTTTACACCAAAAAGTATCCTGTTTTCCTCCTGAGAAATGATATATCTGCAATATGAAAGAAAAGTCAGGAAAAGAATCATCCATGTGCTTTTCATTAAATACAAATATTTAAATTTTTCCATATTATGTTCTTTTAGTTCTTGAATACATGCAAATTTTTTTATGATTGCAATCATATTACATATATGACTAGTACTTGGTAAGTGTTTGTTTATGGAGACTTTCATTTAGATTTTTTATTTTACTTTCTTTTTGTTTGTTTTTGAGACAGGGTTTCACTATGTAGCCCAGGCTGGCCTCAAACTCTTGATGATCCTCTTGCCTCAGTCTCCCAAGCTGGGATTCCAGGTGTGTGCCACCAGGCCTGACTTCTTGCTTTTATTTTACTTCTTGGGGAAAAATTTTAAACATATATAAAAATAGAGGATAGATTAAATGGACTCAATGTCTCTGTCACCATGTTCTATAAAAATAATCAACTGACGGCCAAACTGGATTCATCTGTGTGCTCTTCTGGTCCCCAGCTCTGGGCTACAAATTCCACATTTTATATCACATTATATATAAATAGTTCAAAGCGCATTTCAAATGTTTGAGTTCTTCAAAAAACCATAACTACTCCCAGTTATGGTACCATGAGCCTGTAATCCCAGCACTTGGGAAGTTTAGGCAAGAGAATCCTAACTTCAAGGCCATCCTGGGCCATGTAGCAAGTCTGTCTGGCATTCTCTTTCTCTCAAAAAAGAAAAAAAAAAACCTGAAATAACTAGTAATAAGCTTTATATCAAAATATCTTATTAGTGTTCCTATTTCCTGAATTGTCAAGAAATACTAATTTGTACAGTTGCTTTGCTTACATCAGCATCTAAAGATATGTATATTGCATTTAGTCAATGTTTCTAAAATTTATTTTAATACCTAAGTTTCTCCTCTCTGTCTGTCTGTCTGTCTCTCTCTCTCTTGTTTTGCCTTGAAACATTTGTTGAAGAAACATCTTATCCTATGAGTTACTATAGTCTAGATTTTGCTGATTGCAAAGTGTGACATTTTCTTGTCTCTTATATTTTCTGGAAAGCCTATACTGAGACCCAGAAGCTTCGTTTAATTTGAGGCTGCATTTTGGAGAAGCAGCTTTGTAGGAGCACTGAGTTGTCTGACTGCCTGTGTCTCTTCTCTGGTGTTTCCAGTCATTGAGCAGGTCCATCATTTCACTAGAGATTGTGAAACAGTAATAATCTGATGTCATCATCCCCACATTTATTAACTAGAATGCTTCTAAAAAGAACCTTCCTTTGTTAGCTCTATGCATAATTATCATTTTGATGCGTGCGTAATGCTACATCATGTTACTATACTATAATTTCCTAAACTTTTCCTTTAGTATAGGATGTCTAACTTATAATTTATGAGTTTTTGATATTTGGAACAGCACTATAATTACTCTTTTTGTACACATAATCATTTGTATCTTATGAATTATTTCCTCAGGAGCAGAAAATTTGGTTAAAAGGAGCATTTCCTTGTGAATGTGCTGTATTTTAAAAAGGTGGTTAGAATTTCTTCTTTTATTTTTTTATCATCAAACTCATGACCGCCTGCTTGCAAGGCAGGAGCTAAATCCCCAGCCCCGGGTGGTTAGACTTTCTACCCCCACTCCCATTTGCCTATGCATGCGTTGCTTTTGCTGGCTTTCTACTAGCACTGTGTGTGGTCAGGGGCCTGCCTTCGGTGAATTTCTCTCAATTTGCTCGCATTCATTGGATTCTCTTGGCCTTTCTGGTCAGATGGCCGCAAGTTAAAAATCCCTTTGCAGAGGGGAAAAACAAGACCATTTTATAAAATAAGTGGGGGCACTGACCAAGGGCTGTCAGGAGGCTTTGCAGAGGAGCTCCTGCAGTCCAGGGAAGTGGTGACAGATTTATGCAGTTATTTTGTGTTTGAAGTGTTTATTAACAGGTTTTCTGTCTTCTGACTGATCTTCAACTTGTTAGTTCTGAGCAAACAGGTTAAAAGTCGTCATCTTTCTATCGGTGATCAGAGGGACCATCTTCTGCTGTGAGAGGCAGCTTCTCCCTCGCATGCAGCAGACAAACAGATTCACTTACATTTGCCTACTTTTTCTTGTCTCAAAATGAAAACAATTGCTCCTGGGTAAATGCAAAGTGACCACACGTGTTTGCCTCCAGAAATACTTGCTTCTGCTGTACATGAGGCGTTTGCTTTGGGTGCTTTCATTTCTGTAGTTTTTTTTCTAGACCTTCCTGGAATAAAAACAAAATCATATCTGTCTAGTGCCGATTGGAAAATGATGGGTGCTTCACTGACTGTTGTTGACAAATGAGTCTTGGGTTTGCAGTCTTAGAGACTGACTTTAAACATCCTTTCTGTCTCTTAACCTATTTGTGCTGTGTGACCTAGGCAGGTTGCTTTAACTCTCTGAACCTTAATTTATTTCTTTATAAAAGAAATAATTTCTCTGTGTTTAACCCTTCTGGGGATGGGGGAAGAGAATGTACAGGAAAGAACTCCATCCACTGTGGAGGACGAGGTCCTTGGGACAATAAATTGCAGGCTTTCTTTTTGTTCACTCTTAAAAATACTTTTTTTTCCTATACAAATGTTACTCATTCACTCAAACAGAAGGAATAAACTGAGAATTGTCTGTAACCCTACCAATATCCGAACAGTATTCTTACCAATCCTACCAATATTCCTTCTGTTCTTTTTTCCTATGTGAGAACAAACATTAAAATAAACCCCAAACCAAGACTGAACAGCACATACCACTGTGTAATCTATTTCTTCATCATGTGCTGGTACTGTTCACTATTTCTCCTGGCATGAGGTTGGCATCCTCAGGAGAACTCTTTGAAGGTCTCCAGGGAATACCATGGTCGCACCCCTCTCTCAGCTTCCTGCCTGGCCACCCAGGGCTTTCCCCACCATCTTTCTTGGTAACTCCCATCTTCCCTCTGCATCACTAAGTGAATCATGGGTTAACTTCACTCTTAAGCAGAGCTCTGTGTCAATGTCACCAGTCATCATTGGTTCACTGATAGAGAATCCAGCCTGTGCCTGTGACGGGAGTTGCTCTGCATGTGTTTCTGGTCCTTTTGGCTTCCTTTCTTCAAGGTGCTGATATGTACTGCATACTCATTTATTTATCTGCTCATTGAACATACTCAACCCTCTGCTGGATACTGCTGAGAATATAGTGTTGTCATCAAAGAGCAGAAAGTCTAGTTGGGAAGAAAAATCAGAGAATCAGAAAAAATTATATAGAAGGAAAGCTAGTCTCCAGTTGAATAGAGGCAGAGTATCTCCTGGGAGCTGGCAGGTGCAAGAGTTGGTGTGAAGGTGTGTGTTTGAAGCCAACTTCTCTACTGTCTGACCTGGCAAATATTCCTGGCACTTTGAACCTCGTAGTCCTTTTCTGAAGAAAATGCACCTGAAACGTGGGTTGCTAACTCTGCTGCTAGCTCCCTGGGTGAGGTGCCGATCTGAGCACAGCTAATAGAACAGGTGCTGGCACTTGCTTTTAAAGGTGGTAGGCATTCCTGGGTGGTGGGCGTTGAGTCTTTGCCTCTATGGCATTCTGCTCCAGCTGAGTTGTTGCCTGGGTCACTTTCTCCTCCCTCTTGCCAGGGCCTGTTGAGATGAACAGCTTCCGGGTCATGCTGAGTGGGTTCCAGGCCTCCAGAAACCCCTTGCTAACATCTGTCCCTGCTCGCCCACAGTGACCGGTTGGCCCTCCTCCAGGTCAGGAGGATCCTGCAGCAGCTGGGCCTGGACAGCACATGTGAGGACAGCATCGTGGTGAAGGAGGTGTGTGGAGCTGTGTCCCGGAGGGCTGCCCAGCTCTGTGGTGCGGGCCTGGCTGCCGTCGTGGAAAAAAGGAGACAAGACCAGGGACTTGAGCACCTGAAGATTACCGTGGGTGTGGATGGCACCCTGTACAAGCTGCACCCTCAGTGAGTGCCCAGAGGCAGGGGGTGGGGCGCGGTTATGCTGGCAGCTGGCTTGCGTTGGCACAGCCTCCTCAGCTGCAGAATGGGAAGATTCACCCTGTCTTTTTCCGGGAAGGGAATGCTGCATGGTGGTGAGCTCACCTCATGCTCATGTTGGGTTGGAGGCAAAGGTGATCCTCAGTATCCCTTCTTCCTTGTAGCATTGGTTGGGAATACAAGCCAGCCTCTCTCAGTTCCAGCCTCCTCATCTGTGCAAGGCCAGCAGCAATGATTGTGCATCTCAGGGTAAAATGTATGCAGATTAAATGAGGTGATGTATGTCAAGTCCTTCACATAGTGTTTGGAAGTATACATTACCATTATTATAGCCCCACTGACCTTGCAGTGTAGTGATGAGAACTGATTATTTTGTGTGCACTAAGGCATTTGTCAGGCATGAGCTCATCATAACTGTAGTTCAGAGTCAACGGACACAAGAATTAAGAGCCCTGCTGGGCAATGTGGATTTGAATCCTGGTCCCACCATATGGAAGTGAAGAGTCTAAAGGGCCAGTTTCTTACCCTCTTCATACCTCAGTTAATATCCTGTAGAACTGGGACAAAAGACTTACCTACTTCATAGGTGGTTATGAGGACTAAGTTAAAGAACTTCAATAATGAAAACGATTATTTTAATTCATTGTTTCATAATTTATTTTGGTGGAAAGGAAATATAATAACATGTTTATGACATTTCAATCATGCTAAAGAGTATTTATGAAGACATTATTATTATTGCAATCCTCAACTTCTAGAACGGATGATGGCTGATATCTTCTCTTGGTTTTCCTCTCAGGCTATACATTTTTGGTCTGGTTCTTTTTTCTTTTTCTTTTTTTGTATTTTTACCGGTACCAGGGATCGAACTCATGATCACAGGTTTGCAAGGCAGGCGCTTATGCCGCTGAGATAAAACCCTAACCCCTTTGGTCTGGTTCTTACAAGACTCTCCCTATGAAGATAGGAGCTGCATGTTTGTTTTAATAGGTGCAGACAAACAACTCAATAAAATCCAACATCATTTCATGATAAAAGCACTCAACAAATGAAGAATAAGGGACCTTCCTTAACTGATAAAAAGCATCTATGAAACTCCACAGCTAACACTGTGCTTACTGGTGGAACAGTGTTTTCTCTCTTTAAGGTCAGGAAGAATACAAGGGTGTCAGTCTCATCACTGCTACCCAATCTTATACTGCCTGTAATCACGTGGTTTGTGTCTCTCAGACAAGTCATCCAAATTTGAAAGTTTTAGGAATCGATTGAAAAATATGTGACCCTTGGGCTGGGGATTTAGCTCAGTGGCATAAGCGCCTACCTGGCAAGTACAAGGTCCTGAGTTTAATTCCCAGTACCAAACACAAACAAACAAACAAGTAAACAAATAAAATGTGACCTTTGAGGGGAAAATCAAGAGCAAATCTATCCATGGCAGGTAGGCAAGAAAAAAAATTTAAAGGACATTATATTGGAAAGGCAAAAGGAAAACTGTATTTGGTGACGACATGAGTTCATATGTAGAATATGCTAAGAAACACACACACACACACAAAAGAAATATACACACACAACTACTAGAGCTAATAAACAAATTCAGTGGGCCAGGGATTTAGCTCAGCAGACATAAGCACCTGCCTGGCAAGCATGAGGTCGTGAGTTCAATCCCCCGGTACCACAAAAACAAAAAACACCAAATTCAGCAAAGTTTAGGGTACAAAATAATCAAACGAAATCACTTGTATTTCTATATACTTTTGTAATGGACAGCCCCAAAATGAAATGAAAAAAGCAGTTCCATTTACAATTGCACCAAAAAAGCAAAATACTTAGGAATATACTTAACAAAAGAAGTATAAACCTTTTACTCTGAAAACTACAAAGCATTATTGAAAGAAAATAAAGCAAGAATAAGTAAGTGAAAAGACATCCCGTGTTCATGGACTGGAAGACAGTGTGGTGGTGTTTAGACAGCAGTACTCCTTAAATCAATCTATACATTCAACATAATTTATCAAAAATTCCAGCTAATTTCTTTATAGAAATTGTCAAGCTGTTCCTAAAATGCATATATTTAAATATGAGGACCCCACAGTAGTCAAAACAATCTTGAAGAATAGTTAAGAGTTGTTGAGCTCATATTTCCTGATTTTAAAATTGATGTAAAAGCTTACAATTATTAAGACAGTGTGATACTGGCATAAAAACAGATACATGAATCGCTGGAATGTAATTGAGAGCTCAAAAATAAGCTGTAGCTTGGCACGGTGGTGCACGCCTGTAATCTCAGCACTTGGCAGGCTGAGGCAGGGTTGTTTCCAAGTTCGAGACCAGCCTGGTCTACAAGTCAGCTCAAGGTCAGCCTGAACTGCATAGTGAGACACTGTCAAAAACAACAACAACAACAACAACAACAACAACAAAAAGCAAAGCAAAAGAGAAATAAACTCTTGCATAAGTGGCCAATGGATTTTTTAAAAATTTTGTTTTAAAAAATTTTGCTCAATTAATTTTTAACAAGATGCTAAGACCACTCAACAGGGAAAAACAATATTTTTGACATATGGTACAGAAAAAAGGGATAACCAGAAACCAAAAAATCAAAACAAAACGTTTGAACTCCTACCTCGTACCATGTACAATTAACTCAAAAGAGACAAAGACCTAAGTGTAAAATTCAAAATTATAAAACTCTTAGAGGAAAAGAGGTGTAAATCCTTGTGACCTTGGGCAAGGCAATTCTTTCTTATTTCTGACATACAAAAACAGAAGCACAAAAGAAGAAAAGTACTTCTGTTGGTATCAGAACATCCCTGATGGCGGGGCCAGCTGGAAGACGGAATGCGTGCTCAGCACCCCTCCGTTACATCCAGGACAGCAGGGCCGGCTGGAAAACAGTGAGTTCACGCTCTCCACCTCCTCCATCACCCCACCCCGACCACAGTGAGGCTGGCTGAAAGAATGTAAGACTGACGGGAACCCCGAGACAGGACAGCAGCCCCGGGCACAGACGAGCACACACCTGTAGAGGGTGAAGTAAGCAGCGAGGCTCGTAATGTGGACGTGTCTGAGTCAGCGGTGAGGACTCAGCAGTTGGACTCTGGAGAGTGCCACAGACATAAGACCAGTGCCAGTCCCCACATCCAGAGGCCAAGGTGGGTCCATACACAGCGCACCTCTGGGATGTAACACGGACACCATCACAGATCCGTAAACACCAGAAGGTAGGTTCCTGGGGTAGCTATAAGGAACCAACTTCCTCTGCAGGACATGCCTGAGGGAACCACAGCTCCTTTCCTCCTTGAGAGAGGCCTCAGGGCTAGTAGTAGAGCCACACATCATGGGACGTTGGCGGGCATCAACTTGGGAGACAAAAGAAAAAAGAGAAGGTGGAGAATGGCAAGACACAGAGGCGGGGTGCAGCCCCAGCCCCCCAGGACGGCCTGGACTCATCGAGATGGACGAAGTTGGAAGTCAAACACTGGTAATTTCTGAAATGATAACAACAGAAGTGAAAAAAAAAAAAAAACAAGTGGAAAAAGGCTTTAGAGAACATGATCTCTCAAGTAAAAAAAGAACTGCTGCCCAAAATCAAAAATATTAGAGAAGACACAAATAAAAGAATAGATGAACTTAGAAAAAGATGGGAACATAAAGTGCCCAACATAGGAGAAAAATAGAATCCATGAAGCAGAGCCAAACAGAGATCTAGGAGATGAAAACCTCCATTGAAAGTGTGCAACAGAAAGGATAGAATTTCAGGTCCTGAAGACAGAACTTCAGCTAAAGACAGAGATCTTAGTGATGGCAAGAGGCCGTGAGAAGTCAATCAACAGCTACAAGACAAAGCAAACAAGAATAACACAAGATTGACTGGGGTCAATGAGGAAGCTGGAGACAGCACAAATGCCACAACAATCATAAATATATATGCACCTAAGACAGGAGCATTCAACTCTACGACAGTTATTGGTAGACATGGAAAACCAAATAAGCAGTGACACAGTTGTAATGGGAGGCCTCAATACCACTGTCACAGAGCCAGATCAACCGGACAGGAAGTCAGCAAAGACATCAGATCTGGGCCAAGGATTTACCTCAGTGGCATAAGTGCCTGCCTGGCAAATGTGAGGTCATGAGTTCGATCCTTGGTGCAAAAAAGGAAAAAAAAAAAATTAGAGCTGAATCAAACCTGTGAACAAATGGACTTAATAGGAAGAAGCCACACCCTGAGGCCCTTCTGTCATCGGGGAAGCATCAGTGAGCCACTGCCCGTGCCTCTCTACCACTCCAGGAACCCCAGATCAGAGTGATGTAGGGAAAGGAGACTCCCAACCTACTATGTCCATGAGTTCCTGTTCTCTAAAACCAAAGAATGAATTTTAGGAACAACGGAGGTGAAGAGTAGAATATATTTATTTGAGAGAAAGGAAACTTCTGTCTGAAGAGAGACAAGAAGGGGTCCCGATGGGGCTGGGGATTTAGCTCAGTGGCGTAAGCGCCTGCCTTGCAAGCATTCGGTGGTGTTTGATCCCCAGTACCGAGCGGGTTACCAAGGACCAAGGACTCTATTTTTCAGGGACTTTTATAGAGCAAAACCATGTGTTGGTGGTGGTGGGGGGGGGACTCACAAGGCAGATGGGCATAAGGTCGGACATAACTATAGTTAGCCAATAAAATCAATAGTTCAGATAAAATTGATTACTTTAGGGAAAAATAGGAAAGGAAATCACCTAGGAAGTAGACATTCTTAGAGAGCAGTGATTCTTCCCTAGGGATTGGGGTGGTGACTCCTGACTTCTAGGTGATCAGACTTAATCCCTAGCGATTATACTTAAGGATGTGGCTACAGCTGTTTTGCCTTCTGTCCTGAGATCTGGCCCACAGCAAGAGGTGTGTGTCTCCTCCAAGGTCATCAGGCATCTGGTCCTCTGTGCTGGCTTCCTCGAGGGCCCAGCCCTGTCTGACTGCCTGTAGTGTTTCTAACTGGCTCAGCTGCCTGGAACAGGAGGAACCCACATGTCTAGTCCAAAGCACTACCCTGAGGGACTGGGAGTCAGTGAGGGGGGCACCAGGGTGCAGCAAGGGGCCGATTCAGAGACACACCGGAAAATGTCAAGACAAAGGGACAAAACACAGTGTCAGCTCTCCAGCTCACACAGAACAAGTTCAGGAGACACAGACATAGTAGAAATTAGAGATCACACACCTGAAATTTCTGTAAAGATAACTGAAGAAGCAATTTAGTTTATATTGTTTGGTTAATTTTACATGTGTATGTCTGATGGTCTGGAAAAGAGGCATTATGGTAGCCATTGTTAATTTCCTATTATCGTGTTTTGAAGTCCTATAAAGTTTTCATTCATTTGGTTTTATTCTGTTTTTTTGTTTGTTTTTTGAGACAGAGGTTGGACTTGAACTCACCCAGGCTCAATGATCCTCCTGCCTCAGCCTGCAGAGTGCTGGGATTATAGGCATGTGCCACCACACCCAGCTCTGTTTTGTTGGATTTTATTATGTCTGATGGTATGTAGCTATTTTGAAGATAACAAGAGGCATTATGGTAGCCATTGTTGATTTCCTATTATCTGGTTTTGAAACCTAGTATCACTTTCATTGTTTTAATTGGCTTTATTCTATTTTAGTTTTTTTTTTTTTTTTTTTTTTTTTTTAAAACTTTGTATTAGCTGGGTGTGGTGGCTCACGCCTGTAATCTCAGCACTCGGGAGGCTGAGACAGGAGGACTGTTGGGAGTTCAAGCCTGGGTTACAAAGTGAGCTCAAGGCCAACCTGAACTGCATAGCGAGATCCTGTCTCAAAAAGACAAACAAACAAACAAACAAACAAACTGCTTTATATTTCAAAGGATACCATAAAAATAAACAATCCTGAGGCTGAGGCAGGAGAGTCTCCACAATTTCAAGACCAGCCTGGACTATATAGCAAGACTCTGTCTCAAAAAAACAAAGGACAAACAATAACAGCAAAAGAATAAACTATCCACAAAATGAGAGAAAATATATGTGAATGATGTACCTGATGAGAAATATATCTAAACTGGGAATATAACTCAATGGCACAGCACCTGCCTGACAAGTGAGGGGTCATGAGTTCGATTCCTGGAACAAAAAAGAGAGAAGCATAATCTAAAATATATAAAAAACATGTACAACTCAACAATGAAAAGTTACCAATTATCAAATGGACAAAGGATATGCCCAATGACTTCTATAAAGAAAAAAATTAAATGGTGAAAAGGCACATGCAAAGGTACTCAATACCAAAGTCACTATGAATGGAAATGGAAGCCACATCTCTTCAGACCCCCTAGAAGGACTACAGTGAGACAGTCTGACAATAGCAAGTTTGGATCAAGATGTGATAGAGTGGGAGCCCTTACACGCTGCTAGTGGGAATGCAAAATGGTACAATCACTTTGGAAAACAACTTGGCAATTCCTGAAAAAGATAATCTATTAATATATATTAATTAATTAACATATCACCCAGCAACTCCATTCCTAGGTGTACGCAAGAGAAACACAAGCTTATGTCCACACAGGAACACACTCATAGCGACATTAGTCATAAAATTCAAAAAATGGAAACCACCCAAGTGCCTGTCAGCTGATGAGCACAGAAATAGTACATCTATGCACTGGGATATTGCTCCAACATAAAAAGAACATAAGGGGCTGGGGATTTAGCTCAGCGGCATAAGCGCCTGTCTTGCAAGCAGGCAGTCGTGAGTTCGATCCCTGGTACCGATAAAAACGGAAAAGACAAAAACAAAACAAAACAAAAAGAACATAGCACTGACATACACAGCATTGATGAACCTTGAAAACATCTGTGAAGGACAAAAACCAGACATTATAGGCTACACATTACATAATTCCATTATATGACATAACCAGGATAAGTGAATCTATAGGAACTAAATTTCTATTTTACTAGATTGATTGCTGGGAGCTCTCATAGGTCACTGTGAATCGGGAATGACAACAAACGAATGTGGCATTTTCTTTTAGAGTGATGACAATGTCCTGCAGTTAGCTGGTGATGGTATTGTACAGCTTTGTAAATACACTGAAAACTATGAAATCCTATGCTTACTGAAAGAGAAAAAAGAAAAAAATAACTTGATTGCTAAGTGACTGCTAAGCCATTTTCTCCTCCCGCCCAGGCTGTTCAGGGATCAGCTCTGTAACTATAACTTCTCTTTCCACTTCACTAGCAGAACCCAGAGAACTGCCTGCCCTGCTGGCCCTCAGAGATGACCACCTAACATTCAAGGTAGCCAGTGTTCCCAGCCTAGATGCCCACACCGCTGGTAAAAACTTTGCCTTGGAATGTGGCCGTTTTCAGGCAAACCTGGGACAGAGCAGAGACTGTGTCCCACCTCACCGGCTACAGGTGTGCTTTAGCTGGACGCAGTGGTGCATTCCTGTAATTCCAGTGGCTCAGGAGACTGAGGAAGGAAAGTCACAATTCTGAGGCCCGCCCAAGCAATTTAAGCAACTTAGCCAGACCCTGTTTCAAAAGGAAAAAATAAAAAGGGTTCGGGTTGTAGCTCAGAAGAGTGCTTATGTAGCATATCTGAGGCTGTGGGTTCAATCCCCAGCAGTATGGATGGGGGGAAGATGGTTTGCTTTGTGTTTGGGGGAGTGAAACTTGAAACATCTTAAAATAAAAAATTGGGGGACATTTTGAACAGACCAAAGAAGAGTTTTGGAAAAAGACAAGAGTTTTAATCCTGACAAACTTGCTTCTTGTACAAATTTAGAAACATTTCTGAGGTTTGTCTTTATGTATCCAAGGGAGGGTAGTTGTTTTCAAAGCATGACTTGTTACACTCTGACATTCCGCATAGAAAGCACCTAGAACAGACTCTGGCAGTAGTAGTTTAAGGTCGATTTACAACAGCAGCTTAGGAAGTGATTTGAGGCCTTAGAAGCAAGCTCAGGAAGAAACCAGATGAGACTGTCACTATTTTGATCTGGTATACACGGCTGATGACATCCTGTTTCTCTTTTTCGTAGCTTTTCCCGGGTGTTGCAGGAAACCGTGAAAGAACTGGCCCCTCAATGTGACGTGATGTTCATTCTGTCGGAAGACGGCAGTGGCAAGGGAGCGGCTCTGATCACTGCGGTGGCCAAGAGGCTGCAGCAGTCGCCGAGGGAGAACTAGGCGTCCCCCACGGTCAGCCGAATGCACCTTGGATCCCGTCTGGCTCCACCTCTGGCAGATGAGTGGGTCGGGCACAAGTAGGCCCCCTCCTGGCAGACTTCGCCTCCCTAGCTGGAAGAAAACCTCCAGTCATTTGTACTCTTAGCAACTTGGTACTAGTTTGCATTGACTTTAAAAGGAAGTTCCATTTGGTATATTTGGGCCAAGGCGAGGCCACTTCGTGTAGTCAGAGTATCTGGACTGTAAGATCCCCTTTCAGTAGAATTCTCAGCTGCGCTTCAAGGGTTCTGTCCTCTGTGCCTTTGGGTCCTGTGCTGCCAGGTTTGAGGATGTAAAGAGACTGCCCCTAGGCTGGCTGGGTTCCTCCTCGGGATGCTTGAACCATCTGGAGTAGCAGATTGGGCCCTTTGCTTGTGGATGACCGCCTGAGAGGGCCAGAGGCTTATGAAACGAGCTGGGGGACCTAATCTAACTCGTCCTTGCCTCCTTACGTTGGCTTAAAGTGCGAAGCAAAAATAAAGCCTCTGGAGTGCTGCTCTCTGGGATGCAGAGAGCTGATTGCCAGGGAGTCCTGCGGGAATCTTCCTTACTTCTGAGAGCCGCACGAGCACCCTGCCGGATTGTGCCCCTTAGCCCGTGTGTGTGGTGGGGCAGGGCGCACTCAGTGCCTCTGGTTTTTATCCTGCATTTAACAGGGTTTGCGTTGTTGCTGTCAATATTTGTTTGAAGCACGGTTATGAAACCCAGTAAATGAATAAACATATTTGATTTCCAAAGAAACTTGGAATGTGATGTTGCTCTTTTTCCTGGGAGGCTCACTTGGTAGAAAAAGGGACCCACTGAGCCAGAAGGCCTGAAAGATCTCAGTCCCTACCGATAGGACAACTACATGGAGTGTCTTTGATGACATCCTTAAAGGTTTTTCCAGATTGGGTTTGTGTGACCACTGCTGGTCCTACCACTCACTTCGAATGCCTGGGAGTCTGTCCACCCCTCTTTCTCCCTGAAGCTGCTCCACCCCCACCCCGTCGGCCTCTGCTCTCCCCTCCGGAGTGGGTGGAATTGGAGTGGGTGGAATTGTGCAGTCCCTAGATGCTCTTTCTGAATTCATCCCGCTTTCTGAACTACCTGCCATGTTCTGTCACTCGGCTATGTGTGTGAATTTCTTATCTGGCCTTGTAGTTTGTAGATTCTTTGTCAGGGGCATTTTTTTTTTTTTTTTGTCTTTTTCCTGTTTATTGGTACCAGGGATCGAACTCACGACTGCCTACATGCAAGGCAGGTGCTTATGCCGCTGAGCTAAACCCCCAGCCCTGTCAGGGGCATTTTTTATTGCCCTAGTCAACCCAACACTGTGCCTCCCCCACCCCCTGCCACTGTGCCATTTTAACACTTGCCAGAGAGAGGCGTGATGCAAAAATAGAGCCTTTGGAGAAAATTTCCTTGGAAAAATTGGAGACCACTGGCCTGGGAACAGAATGAGAAAATAACACTGCAGGTAGCCCTGGCTGATTTTGTGTATTCACTTACGTACTTAATCACATGCTGCCTCAACCCCACAGAGTTGCTGGCTGCCTCTTCATGAGGGGACAGGTCCCATGCCCTGTGTCACTGGTTACAGAAGCAGGATGTGAGCCAGGCTAGCCTGGGCTGGGGACAGGTAAGGGGGGATGACAGATCTTCAGGAAAAAAATTTTGGTACATTTAATAAGCATGTAGGGTGATGCTCCTGTGAGTGGGTCCTAGATTTACCCCAAATTAACTTTGTGTGTTTATTGATTGCTGGAATTAAACCTAGAGCCTTGCATGTGGTAGACATTTATATCCTGATGGCAATTTTTTAACATTTTAAGGCTATACCACTGTGGAGAAAGGTTGTGTACATTTATTCAATCTGTCATCTTCTATTTTGAGACTGTGTCTCTTTGGAGAGGTGATCTAATCAGGGAGGCTGGCTGCCCTCGACCCTCCCCAGTGCTCCTCTCCTTGGGGCCACCCTCAGCGCCTGTCCTTCTGCCCTGGGCTTATGGGGTCTCTCTCTTTACCTTCCCTCCTGGGCCTGGTCTTAGAGTGCTGGGGAGGATGGAGAAAGTCACAGAACCTACTCTCTCCTAGCCCTGGTCTCTCAGAAGCAGGTGGAACCTGAGTATCTAGGCAACCTGGAGCATTCTGACTTATTGATGGCATCATAGAATCCTTGGACCAGAATCGGGACTTCAGAAGGGCCAGAAGAATCAACTCTAGAAATACCCCTGGCAATGGAGGGCCCACTTCACCTCCAAGTTTACAAGGTAAGACTGCCTACATGCCAGCAAGCACGCCCCACGGCCTTTCCTCTTCAAAGGAGCACCTTTTTCTCCATGATATAATCTTTTTTTCTCTCTCTCTCTCTCTTTTTCTTTTTTTGGTCTTTTTGAGACAGGGTCTCACTACACAGTTCAGGCTAGCCCTGAACTCACTTTGTAGCCCAGGACAGCCTCGAACTCACAGCGATCCTCCTGCCTCAGCCTCCTGAGTGCTGGGATTACATACAGGCTTGTATCACCTGGTTTACGTAGTATAATCCTGTAGTTACTTTATCCTAGTGAATTTTGGTACAGGAATTGCTAAGAATTAGCTTTTTCCCATGACTATCTCTCCAGAACAACTGATCTCATCCTACTTACCTTTCTTTTTTTTCAAATCCATTTTGTTCAAGCATAAAAAGAAAGACAAAAAAGAAGAAAAACACTAAAACAAAATTTTAAAGTACATCAATTAGGGGGTGACAATGGTACATACACTGCACATTTTCATCCCCAAATCATTCACCCAGAGCACAAGTCACCTGACTGCAATTGTCCAAACAACACCAGTACAAATCTTTCTCTTCGTCAAACTCAGAGGAATCAGTAGCTTCCATAATTTGCTTGATCATCTATTTTTTGGTCTGTGTCTGCTGTAACATTGCTAAGCAGGGTGTGTATTTTGATAATCTCTGTAGTTATTTGAGAGATTATTTCTGATTTAATTTTTTCCAGAGCCTCATTGAATTAGTTTGTTGTTTGCACCTCAGAGAGGCCTGGTGGGGGCTTTCGGATTGTTTCACCTCGTTGCCCCCTGGGTTTGCCTTTGGTGAACTGGATGTCTGGCGTTGCATCCTGTTTAAGTGTTTTCATATTGCTTTTCGTTTTTAGTTTAATTCCTGGGGTGATGCTTGTTAAGTTACCTGTGGTGAGTCGCTTTACTGGGGTACTTAGGACCCTTAGGTGATGCTCACTTCTCTGAGGTGTAGCTTCCAGGTGTAGCTGTTGGAAGAGTTTCTCTCTTCAGCTTGTTGGAGATGAGAAGTTGTTGCTCATTCTTCCCCATGCCCTGGTTCTTTGGCACTGTGCCATGGGTTATCAGGGCCAATTTGGAACAATTTACATCAGTTTTGGCTGTGGAGGTACCAATAGCATCAAACACAGCCTATAAAACAACACACTGAGCTAGGGCTTAATTTGCAACCTTTAGCTGTATGAACTAGACTTGTGATTATATAACAAAATGTAAAACAACCAGAACATTATCTATAATGCGTCAATTTTGCCCTCAGGGTTAAAATTTAAAATGGATTAAGGAGATAATAGAGGAGTGGAAAAAGAGAAAGAGATTACAAGTAAGGTTGGAGGACAAAGATGGGACCTGCCAGTTTGGGGAAACTGGTACAAAAGACTGAAGAAGTAGAAGACATAAAAGGCAGAACAAATCAGAACCACACCCACAAAGAGGACAGCTATTGAAAACCCAAATATCGAGTTCAGTCATCCAAGTACTGCAATCCTTTTTTTAGTTTTCCTCACAATCCAAAATGTTATATTTGTAATCCCACTGAGATGTCATTGGAATCCTAGCAAGTTAATTTCAATCTACCACCACCAATGCAACCTGGGACAAAGGCCTCCATCCATGCCTCTCCCAGCATTTATTATCTTGTGAAGAAGCGGGGTGGCTCAGGGATGAGTGATAGTGAGGATGTGGGGGTTACTGAGTAACTTGAGCTGGCTGGCCAAGTGCAAGATTGGCATCTCTGTAAATTGCAGAGATAAAGATAAACAGAAGAATTAGTGTACATAATCCAATTAAGGTAGCAGTGGAATTGTCTTGGGGGGCTATTGCTTTGGTTTTTAATATACAAACTCTTGTGTCCTGGGGAGTCATAACCTCTGATCTTGAGGCTGTACCCAGTTGACATTCCTAGATCTATTGGCTCTAACATCTCACATTCTGATATCCTGCACATATCTGTATTATAGGAGAGCACTATGTGAGGAAACAGGACTCTCTGTTGGCTATAGATTTTGTACATTAGCACCTTGGATGGCCTTATTTGCAATGCTCAGAGCCAATTGAAGAGAGAAGGAAATACCCTAGCCAGCCCTTTACACATCAGTATAAGGAAATGAGTCTCCAAGTAATCAAAGGCACAGTGATTGTTTTGGATTCAAAGGGAGTCACTGGAGTTGTCTCCCACAGATAGGAACCACTCTCACACTCATAAAAAAAAATAGACAATGAAAGAGAAAATGAAATTAAAAAACCCAAACTGAATAAAACAAACAAGAGGGAAAAAAAAAGTCCAGTTCCAGGATTCTCTCCGGGTTCACTGTAGACAGCCTGTGAAGACAGAGTCCCAAATCCTGTCACTCTAACCCAGCAAGCCAGCCGCTGCTTTATGGCAGAGTGGTAGACGACCTTGGCAGGCCTGCCCTGAGACCAGACTCATAGGCTCGCCACAGTCCAAGCAGTTTCCAGGGATCTGCACCCCGCTAGGAGCTGCTGGAGGAAGGCAGCAGCAGTTCTGGTTCTGGGCTTATCTGGCCCGGCACCAAAACAGCTCACAGCCAATCGCTGTCTCCCACCGGGTAGGGGTGGGACTGAGTCCTCAGCATTCACCGCCAGCCAGCTCAGTCCTCCAGGTCTGTCGCCCTCCTCCACTGCTGGAATCTCTGGGGTCACCAGCCACCACCGACAATGTGACCATGTGTCCCCAGGTTCCAATAGATCCTGTCCCACAGATGTCTGGCTCTGGGTGAAGGCGTGGCCAGCTCCCGTAGCCTGCTTTGTTCAAGTTTGTCTTTACTGTCTCTGTGGGCTTCAGTTCACACTCCAGATTCTTCCTGGGTCCAGGGGGCCCACACCCTCCTGTGACTCTTGGACAGGCTGTCCTCTCTGCTGCTTACCGCTCCGCCATCTTTCCAGAAATCCATTTTGATAGAATTTTCAGCATGGCTAGAAAGATAGAAATATGAAATAAAAGTGGCCTTTATTCTAAGAACACGGAGAGGACCCCACGACCAACCACTGAGGTCTGGCTTTTCTTTGCCTGACATGTGGTGTGGGGGCACACATAGAGCTTTGGTCTGGGGTGGTGCCTAAGGGGCATTGCTGATGTACAGGTAGCCATTGGAATTCATTTCTCACCATAGGTAAATTGCCTAAGGGCGGGGAGGGTGACCTCAAGGTAAAGCCCCTTGGTTCTGGCCTCCCAGCCTCTCATCGCTGCAGCATCCTATCCAGGGCAGAATCCTTTCGCATTTATCTTTCTGTAGAAATGTTCTGTAGACATTTATCTTTTGTTTGTTTGTTTTTGTTTTGTTGAGAGTAGGAAAATTTATTGAGGAAAAGGAATGGGGAATAGGGATGGAGAACAGGAATAGTTCCTGGCCTTGAACTCACAGCAATCCTCCTGTCTCAGCCTCTTGAGTGCTGGGTTACAGGTATGTGCTACCATGTCCAGCCTCAAACTTATGATCCTC